TCATAAGACACTAAAGGATTACTTTTGAAAATTAACGAAAATGTAAAATCTTTGACCAAAATGTTCCGCCGCAACCTCAAGAACCTGTCTAAGTTTTTTTCAGAACATTGCTGATGTGAAACGAATATGCCATTTGAAGTCACCGAGAAAACAACATCTTGCAAGATATTCATGATATGATCAATAAAAATTATTTCAGAATGACACGTGTCTTATGTTGTCTTTACGTTTTTCGTCAGTACTACAAGTTGGCACATTCCAGATTCTTTTATCCCACTTTATCCTGAACTGTTTCCTTATTTGTTAATCATTCATGCTTCGTAATACAAAAGGGAAGTGGGGTAGCCTAGTGGTTAAAGCGTTGGCTTGTCATGCCAAAGACCCGGGTTCGATTCTCCACATGGGTACAATGTGTTAAGCCCATTTCTGGTGTCCCCCGCCGTGATATTGCTGGAATATTGCTAAAGCAGCGTAAAACTAAACTCACTCACTCTCTCGTAAAGCAAAAATGTGTGGGTACAAAGCAAACCTATGATATATTAATCCAGTTCTTGATTTGAATTTTCAAGTTTGTATAAATCAACATTCGTTTTGTTTCGTATATACAACCTGTTATTGTTATCTTAGGGAAATAAGTACACACACGTTACGGGGGAAACAGTTATGTGTATTCTGTCTATCAAACAAATGTAAATGGGGACATTTGAAACCAAGAGATGACGGTTCGCACGCATATTTCATGCGTCCAAGACAAGGCACCACAGACAAATAACAGGTTGATAAATAACCCGGTATTTTTATTTTAAGTGTTATTATAAATTAACAGCAATTCGTTATTCCGTATTATCTCTAATAAGCACATGGTCTCTCATAAGCGCCGGGGTAAAGCAGCGGTTTAAGAAATAAGCAACAGGTTTAACGTTTTGGATGAGTGAGTAAAGTTTTACGCCGCAATATTCCTGCAATATCACGCGCGGAACACATTATACCCATATTGGAAGTGAACCCTGATCTTCGGTGCGACGAGAGAACGCGTTAACCAGGAGGCTACCCAAGTACCCTTTTCTGTTTCCTGCATCATAGAGGTGGGTTAAAAGTTACCATCGGATCAGAGTTGTTTCAGTAATAAAACGAGAACGATATGGACATTCTGAAAGGAAGGTGCAGTGAAATGGTGTTTAACTTCTCGTTCAAGATAATTGCGCTTCCTTTGCGTATGTGTTTAGCTGTATATACTAGTCCGGACTAATGCCAGATATATAGTGCAAGCCCACTGCCACAGTTTTAACATGAATACCCCATTCAGTCACGGTATCAGTCAACCAGTCCCAGATTTATTCCCTTGATACCGACAGACATGGTAACAACAGGTACCGTCTCGGGGGTAACCAGTCCAAACTCCGTGGTTCTACTATACATGTATATGAAGCGTGTTGGTCAAGAAACAACGAAACCCGCGGAAATCCGGGTTAGAATTGGTACTCAGCAACCCATGCTTGTCGTTAGAGGCGACTAACGGGATCGGGTGGTCAGGCTCGATGACATGGTTGACATATGTCATCGGTTCCCCATTGCGTAGATCGATGCTCATGATGTTGATCACTGGATTGTTTGGTTATTTACAGACCGCCGCTATACAGCTGGAATGAAGAAGAAACAATGAAGCCAGGCGTTATTGTGCCAGTTTTGTTTTGTGCCAGTTTATATTTACATCTTTTCCATACCAATGAATTAAATTAGATACACTTTCTGTCTTGCGTGATGCTTACAGAATATTTGTGCCAGAGGACGTTATTGTCGCACGCTTAACCAAACTAAGAATTATGACGAAAAGAATTGTTTTTAATTAGTACATGAAACAAAACAGTTGCGGATTAGCGGAAATCGCCACTGATCCCTGGGTTTGACCTACTGATCTTTCACACATAGCAGAAACAAACACTGTTACTCCTATTACTTTAAACATTATGGGCGAGTTAAGCTTGTCTTTTTTCAGTTCTCATAACTTAATTTCCGAAAATTTCGAGGTTTCAAACTGGGTCCTCAAGTCTGTCCAATAAACTCATCATGTGCCCAACAAGTGACGCTTTGCATTATGAGCTTACAAGTATTCCAGATCCGCTTCTTAAGACATCTGACATCGTTTTGTCACTATATATTATCTTCTAAAGGAACTGGTATTATATTACGGGATTTGGTGGATCAGAAGTAATCAAGGAAGGTCACCAAAACTGACAGCATCAAGGGGAAGTAAAAACAATATAATACATGTTTGGTAAGGGTCATGCAATCAAGGACACGTTATACATATCTGAGTGAGTGAGTGAGTTTAGTTTTACGCTGCCCTCAGCAATATTCCAGCTATATGACGGCGGTCTGTAAATAATCGAATCTGGACCAAACAATCCAGTGATCAGCAGCATGAGCATCGATCTACGCAATTAGGATACGATGACATGTGTCAACCAAGCCAGCGAGCCTGACCACCTGATCCCGTTAGTCGCCTCTTACAACAAGCATGGGTTACTGAAGATCAATTCTAACCCGGACCTTCACGGGTTTATACATATCTGAACTTTATCACTTCGTTAGAGGTTATGTTCAAGGTGAGAAACAGTAGGCCACGGAACAGGGACACCTCGATGTTGTGACCTTTGATGTACCTGAAGTTAAATGGCCACAGTTGTCTTCATATATTCATTGCTAGTAAAACTGGTCCTGTGTTCTTTACATGAATATACATTCACCAATTTTTATTTCAACACGTCTTGACTCATCTTGACTTGCATTCATTTTGTCAAACCGGACTGAAGTACGCACATTCATTGTAGGTTATTCACCGTCACACATTACTTGTGATGTGACCATGTTTCGTTTGCCTGGGGCGGTGGGTAGCCTAGTGGTTAAAGCAATTGCTCGTCCAACCGAAGGCCCGGGTTCGATTCCCCACATGGGTAAAATGTGTGAAGCCCAATTGTGCCCGATATTGTCTCAGATATTCAACGTCACACACTTTATATGTGATTTACAAGGTGTCTTATGTCTGATGTTATGCTCGATATTGTCTCAGATATTCAACGTCACACACTTTATATGTGATATATGTAGGTGTCTTATGTCTGATATTATGCTCGATATTGTCTCAGATATTCAACGTCACACACTTTATATGTGATATATGTAGGTGTCTTATGTCTGATATTATGCTCGATATTGTCTCAGATATTCAACGTCACACACTTTATATGTGATATATCTCAGTGTCTTATGTCTGATATTATGCTCGATATTGTCTCAGATATTCAACGTCACACACTTTATATGTGATATATCTAGGTGTCTTATGTCTGATATTATGCTCGATATTGTCTCAGATATTCAACGTCACACACTTTATATGTGATATATCTAGGTGTCTTATGTCTGATACTATGCTCGATATTGTCTCAGATATTTAACGTCACACACTTTGTATGTGATATATGTAGGTGTCTTATGTCTGATATTATGCTCGATATTGTCTCAGATATTCAACGTCACACACTTTATATGTGATATATCTCAGTGTCTTATGTCTGATACTATGCTCGATATTGTCTCAGATATTCAACGTCACACACTTTATATGTGATATATCTAGGTGTCTCATGTCTGATATTATGCTCGATATTGTCTCAGATATTCAACGTCACACACTTTATATGTGATATATCTCAGTGTCTTATGTCTGATATTATGCTCGATATTGTCCCAGATATTCAGCGTCACACACTTTATATGTGATATATCTAGGTGTCTTATGTCTGATATTATGCCCGATATTGTCACAGATATTCAACCTCACACACTTTATATGTGATATATCTAGGTGTCTTATGTTTGATATTATGCCCGATATTGTCCCAGATATTCAGCGTCACACACTTTATATGTGATATATCTAGGTGTCTTATGTCTGATATTATGCCCGATATTGTCTCAGATATTCAACGTCACGCACTTCACATGTGATATATTTCTATTGTCGTACGCCGTGATATTGCTGGAATATTGCTAAAAGTTGCGTACAAACTAAACTCACTCACTTTCTCACATGGAATCAAAATCAGCTTGAAGAATAATGTTTAATGTGTTAAATCTTCAATATCTATCATTTGAATATTTTCTAAATTAATTTGAACATTTGTATTGCAATGTATCTGGACATGAATTACGCGGCCATTGATCGTTGGACCCGTGGCCTTTACTCGTAATACATCTATCTGCTGAAGTCAAAACGCTATTAGTCGAATGTTGAACATAGAGATTTTTCTGGGTTACATCTTCTTTTTAATCCCAAATATTTTTAACCCAGATGTCATCAAGGAAAATCTCTATGTTCATCAAATAGCATCTTCTAAAATGCCAATCAAGCATCTAAGTCGAATGTTATCGTAAATCAGTTTGTCTCATGTTTATCACTTTAATGTAATATTCGGGGCGGTGGGGTAGTCTAGTGGTTAAAGCGTTGGCTCGTCACACCGAAGACCCGGGTTCGAATCCCCACATGGGTACAACGTGTGAAGCCCATTTCTGGTGTCCCCCGCCGTGATGTTGCTGGAATATTGCTTAAAGCGGCGTAAAGCCAAACTCAGTCAGTCAGTCAGTCCATGTAATATTCAATACTTATTCAATGTATAAATTTCAACATTGAAACGTTCATATTTCTTTAAAATATGAAGTGCAACGCCTCTTAACGATTTAATTGACTTAACCTCATTAACCATTGTATGACTGCAACACGCATATACATGCAGTATGAATGTCTGTCAAGTCAGCTTTACATGTACTAATTTATCAAGGAAACGTCAAATTATATTTCGTCTCCAACAAATAGATATTTTTATTTATATTCTGTTTTTGTTTCCAGAATCCATAAACATGTCACGTGATTCTGTTCTGTGTGCATATAAGGGAGACATCTAATCCTTTTCGTAAGGACGACATTGGCAGTGAACTTGACACAGGCACATCTCCAGCGACGACCTTCCAGAATGATCCTCCAGGTAACACTTGCCCTTGCTGCTTTATCAGTGGCTGCCAGTAACCCCGTCTGTTGTCCACCCTCGCGATTCTCTGCCTTCCAACATCTCACCGTCTCCAACTCCACGACCACTACGCAAGTAAGTACAGTGCCATGAGTTTATCATGTGTACCAATATGGACTTTGTAACCATATGAATCCCAAAGACAGAATATGTTACATATGTAACCACCTTCCCCTTTCCGTAAACCTCTCGCTCATAAACTGATACGGAAGATTTGCGCCTTAAAGCAAAATTTGGATTTAGGCGCCGTATAAATTTCCAAAACAATTTGATAAAATTCCAGTTTTCCAAAAAGAGACAAATTGAATTATTGTGTCTTGAACCCAGATATTTCAGTTTATGCAAACGTTTAAAGTTTAATATAAATTATAAATAACAGTGGCAAATTCACGGTGACTGACTTTCTATGATACCCGTGAAGACCCGGGAGGGAATTGGTCTTCAGTAACCCATGCTTGTCATAGGAGGCGACTAACGGGATCGGGTGGTCAGACTCACTGACTTTGTTGACACATGTCGTCGTATCCCATTTGCGTAGAACGATGCTCATGATGTTGATCACGACATTATCCAGACTCGATTTTTTACAGACCGCAGTCATATAGCTTGGATATTGCTGAGTGCGGCCTAAAACTAAACTCACTCCTACTTTCTATGAGTAGCATATGCAAAAGGTTCAAAGTTAAATTGAAAATATTTCCGTATGCCATAAAACGCTCGAGAATAATTTGACATTTATGCCAGTGAAATTGGAAGACAAACCTAATAAATCAAAAGCTAAAAAATAGACTATTTAATGGGCAAGATTTCGAAAATAATATTCATATAATAAACAAACGGGAAATGTTGTATGGCATCTTGAAAGGTTAGTTCTGCTTCTCTGTGAACTGACCTTATACTCTTTGTTTGTAGGTATAATACGCTTTTAAGTTGGTGGAAGTCATTTATTCTTGGGGAAGAGGAGAGTTGTTTCTGAGATAGATTTACTCAAAAGTAGAATTAGTGTATCTTAAGATATGAAACACCCCATAGAGTAACCTCAACTTTATTTCTCATGCCAGACAGAATAACTACAGTAGAGTCTTTTCACTTTTTCGAGCTGTATATTTTCGTTAGTGACTGCTTCAAAAAACGTAACAGATCTTCTACTGCGAAAAGGGCAACGCAACAATCTATTTAAAGCGTTTATCAAGGGTCAGTTACTATCTTTGGGGTGTATGGGGTGTAGGGGTGTGATTCCCCACATGGGTACAATGTGTGAAGCCCATTTCTGAAGCCCCCCCCCCCCGTGATATTGTTGGAATATTGCTAAAAGCGGCGTAAAACCAAACTCACTCATTCACTGTACTATCTTTGGAGGTAGCTCAAGGTTTGACTGACTTCTGGTCCCTGAAATGAACATATATTACAGAATAAAAACGGTAAGTAAAATATCTTTATAAATATAATAAGTAGGAGCCGAGAAACTTTGATCATTTTCAAACATTTCATTTCCCTGAAACTGTGATAAGTTACACTTGCCACATATTCTAGACATGCACGGACGTATACTATGGTTTAAGGGACCTTCTAGATGAAGGACGTGCTTCTGATACTGCACGTTTTGTTTGTAGTTTAACGCCGCACTCGGCAATGTTCCAGCTCGTACTTTATCGTAGTTTTTTAAATCTTTTTTTTATTCCATTTCAAGTTGCATGTACAGACAGAAGAGTGACATGTTTTGGCATTACATTATCAAGTTAGTACAAAATTGTTTACACATATGAGGGTGTACATATATAGATAAATAGGAGTTAGTTTGAAAATATTATCACTGCAGTGGACACAATAGAATGAGGAGGTCAAACTGCACGTGTGCTAAATTAAAATGTCAGAGTACCGTATCTAGGTGTTGTCATTTCCTAGTAAAACCACTAAATTTATTATTTTTCATTGCAATAAACCTTTCGATATAGCATATGTATTTAAGTAACTTGAGAAATTCTGCAAAGGATATATCTTGCTGTTTTAGGCTTGAAGTATAGATTAATCTTTTTGCAAGTAGTAAAATGTGATGTACTACTTGGTTATTTGAGGGCGGTCCCAACATAATGATTAATTTAGATAGTGTCATATTGGTTTGGAGGTTATCATTAGGAATTCTTCAACTTTAACCCAAAAGTTCCGAACAAATTGACATTCAAAGAAGACCTGTGATATATCTTCTGAGGCGGTTTTACAAACTGTACATGTATCATCATCAACCAACTTCATTTCCAATCATTCTTTTTTTTGTATAAATTATTCTGTTTATAAATCTGTATTGAAAGTCTAAGAGTTTACAGTCATTTGTACATTTCCTATAATAGCTAAATACATCTTTCCAATCAATCTGATGTTGAAAGACAGTGTTCCAATATTCTAAGGACTTGGGTGTAGAATCATTCTTAATTATTTCGTCATAAAATATCCTTGAGCCTTTAGCATTACAGATAATAAATTTGCATATATTATTAATATGTGATTGATCGAATGTAAATGTTGTGTTTCTTATCTGATATCTCCAGTTATTTGGAGTGAGTGAGTGAGTGAGTTTGGTTTTACGCCGCTTTTAGCAATATTCCAGCAATATCACGGCGGGGGACAAGAGTTGATAGTTTAAGAAAGTTCCCTGTATTTTGTATACTTTATCGTAGTTGTCTTGCTTAGATTTACGAAATAATCTGAATTTTTCAAAGCTGACAATGCAGAACGTATGTTTCAGGGCTTGCATTACTTCGTCTGGGACGGCCCCAACCAAAGATACTTCTTTGGCGAAAACCGTGTCGCCAGCAATTACTACGGGACCAAGAAAACAATCTACGACTACAAGAAGGTAGGAGAGATTTACCGAGGGCTATTTCTGTGTTTAAGCGTGGCGGGTTAGCTTAGTGGACGAGCACAAAATGTATAAATATACGTTTTATATACCATTTGTTCAAGATCCCTCCCCGCTGCAATACATTTTAGATTTATTCATGACTCCCTTTTCCTTATTTGCTGTTATTTTTTTCATGATCTCTCATCAACTCCATCTCCTGCTACCCGTTACTCATGACAAATACCGTTTTCTTACACATCTCAGGTGAGAAACCCAGAAAAGATGTGAGGTGAGGTGAAATTGGGTTTAACGTCGTGCTTGAGAATATTTCGCTCATATGACGACGTGCATGCGTGTGTATGTGTATGTGCGGCTGCTTGTACTATCCCAGACTGAAGCTGGTTTTATAGTGCCAGCCCACTGAGATACCATGCCGCAGTGAAGCATGAATACCCCACTCAGACACATTATACTGGCTCCGAGCCGACCAGTCCTTGTTGTACCCATTAATGCCGAGCACCAGGCAGGGACCAACAAGTACCATATTTTAACGTCTTTTGGTATGACGCGCTCAGGGATCGAACCCGCGACCTTCCGCTCTCCGGGCGGACGCTCTAACCACTACACCACGGAGGCGGTACCCAGAAAAGAAAAACCCTTGATTGGCTACTCTGCAGCAACCCATGGTTGTCATGAAATACGAATAAGGGGATCGGATGGTCAGGCTCATCATCGTATAACATCACGTTATTGCACGTCATTGTAACCCTTGTGCGTAGATCTATGTTCATGATGTCAGTTACTGGATTGTCTCGGCAAGATTCGATTATTTACAGACCGCCGGCACATCAGTTAGAATATGGCTACGCGCGGCGAAACACAATATATAAACCTACTGTTAGAAATAAGCAAGACTCATCAAATATATCACATGCGATATCAGTTGGACATACTACAATACCAGCTAAATAACTGGAGTAAGGCTTTCACTGTCACTTCTTGGATAAATATGTCTTTATATTGGGATGAGGGGGCCGTGGAGTAGCCAAGTGGTTAAAGCGTTCGCTCGTCACGCCGAAGACCGGGGTTCGATTCCTTACTTGGGTACAATGTGTGGTGTCCCCCGCCATGATATTGCTGGAATATTGCTAAATTCGGCGTAAAACTAAAACTCACTCACTCGTATTTGGATGACAATTTCGAGTATGGCCACACGGCGCAAACTTACTTGTGGGGTAGCCAAGTGTTTAAAGTGTTCTTTCGTAGCTCATGGGTTTGATGCCCCACGTGGGTACAACGTATGAAACCCATTTCTTGTGTCCATTATCGGTGATATTGCTGAAATATTGATAAAAGCGGCATGAAACCATACCCACACACTTAGACGACACAAAGACCTGTTTCTATTTAGTTGCTACATAAGCACGTGAACACCAATATATCTCATCTCTCCTGATCTCAAACAACTCCACGCCGAAGACCCGGGTTCGAATCCCCACATGGGCACAATATGTGAAGCCCATTTCTGGTGTCCCCCGCCGTGATATTGCTGGAATATTGCTAAAAGCGGCGTAAAACCAAGCTCAGTCAGTCAGTCAAACAACTCCATTGGCTACCAGTTTCCAGCAGAATCAAGTTCAAAATCCTATTCCACACTTTCCAATGCCTCAAGACGGACCTGCCCCTTCTTCTCAAAGCCTTTGTTCAGCCTCACACACCAAGCCAGACACTGGGTTCCTAAGACAAGGACCTTCTCCAAAAGCCTCTCTGCAAAACAGATATGGGCGAGCGCAGTTTCAGATGCGCCGCAGCTTCTATGTGGAATGCTCTTCCAGACAACATCAAGTTATCAGAAACGCCATCAACATTTCGGACAAGCTTAAAAACCCATTTCTTCAAAATTGCCCATGCCTGTTAATACAAGAGACACTGTGTATAAACTGTGTAATATATGAATATGTGAAAACGCCAGTGAACAGTCAACCTGGAACCTTCAGCGCTATACAAAACGATTAGATTAGATTAGATTAGATTAGATTAGATTAGATTGGATCACAAGACTTGTTTCTGTTTAGTTTCAAAATAACAATAATTTTTGTTCGCAGGGCACTGCATACAGGATAGATTCCGTGGCCCGTACTTGCACAACATTCCCCACTCAGGGAAAGTTCCTGGATCAGGAGAATGTCTGTGTTCCTGGTATGTCATTTTTTCAAATGTTTGTCTGTTCTGTTTACAAATCCCTTCGTGATAACCCAGACAGGGAAGATACCTTCATGTCTCAATAGTCAACTGAAGTCGACTGCTGGACGTTTTGGAAATACATAATGATATTGAGTCATCGCGTTATCAACCACCGGTTTGCCTGGTCCAGACTCGATCATTTCTGGCGGCTATTATATAACTGGAACACTGCTGACCTATTCGTGACCACTGTCCAGTGATATTCCACTGAGATACCATGTTGCAGGTTAACACGGATACCCAAACCAGATACACATACTGACAAAGAAACGCCCCTCCCCTTCTTCTCGAACTCCGTTGTTTCGAATGTACCCATATCTCGAGCTTATTTTCCGGTACGACAGATTCACTATATAAATAAACATAGATTTGCCTGCTTATCTCGAATTCGTCATAGAATTGCGATCGCGCATGTCGGTATTTGCCACATTAACTGTCTTAGGAAGGGCGAATACATCTTGCACATCATGCGGTAATTAAATCTTTAATACCTTTGCTATATCGTAATATCCAGGCCACGTATCGCGGATGTACCGATATCTCGAACCTATGTTCTGGTATTGCCAGGATCGATATAACGGGATTGGAATAAAAATTAAATGCATAATGTTTTACGCGGTAGTCAGCTCTTCTTGTTGTTCCGGTCTGGCCCATTCTCCTCTACCCATGATATTTAATGGTTGCCTCTATCATAAAACAATGTTTATTCTCAGGTGGCGCTGTCAACCAGGGCCCTCTCTTTTTTGGGTACGATCAAGACACCCTACATGGGACAGCGTACTCCAGCAACAGCACCACTCCCGACGGCAGGCAGCAGAACGTCATTGCTGTCGTCTCAAAAGATTGTATACCGATAATCAGCAACACGATCATAACTGGCAACGGCGAAGGTTGGTATGAGTGAGTGAGTGAGTTTAGTTTATGCCGCTTTTAGCAATATTCCAGCAATATCAAGGCGGTGGACACCAGAATTGGGCTTCACACAATGTACCCATGATACGAATTGAACCAGATGAAGGAGGGAGTCACCGGACGAGTTAGTGGGCGAGTTGGCGAGTGAGCGAGCGAGCGTAGACATAAAACCGATTTCTTTTTAAGAAATACATCTGATTGTCTCAAGAACCCACGCAATTCATGTTTGGCCATGTGTGAGGAATTGTCAGATCTTCACACAAGACATCGTACAGCAGTAAAAGATTTGAGAGCATATGGACTGGCTTCAATGCAAGTCCTATTGCCTGATCATTCTGCACTGGAAAAAAACACACGTTAATTTCTGCCTTAAAAACTGAATTACCTGAAGGCATAAAAAGTGATAACACACACACACACGCACACACGCACGCACGCACGCACGCACGCACGCACGCACGCACGCACGCACGCACGCACGCACGCACGCACGCACGCACGCGCGCGCACACACACACACACACACACACACACACACCCCCCCACACACACGCACAAACACACACATTAGCAAAAAAACCCAAAAACCCAAAAACCCAAACAAAACAAAACAAACACAACGAAAAAGCAACAACAGTGTGCTAGTTGTCTGCCTCAGTGACACGAGACCAACCATTTCTTTGCCTGGGACAGTTTTAATTATGTACAAGCTGCCGTTATGTAACTCTTATGTAAGTCACTGTGCTTTACTGAATATAGTGAATGTGCTATTCTTACTCTTCAGGGGGAAAGGTTCTTTACGTTAAGGCGTACGTTTACATCTTCCCCGGTGTCAAGGACGTCTCTCTCTTCAACATTCCGTCATACTGCTATGCATAATTCCGTACGTATATCGAAGTGTTTATTTAGCAATAGTGTGCTAGTACACCACATTCTAACATATCCCTACCTAAAATACTAACAATGAACACCAAATGGCCCAACAATCACCATCAAATACTAACCTTTCACTTACTGAAACCACTTTGACCTCAAATACTAACTTTTCAGCTGTTCATCCAATGCCACGGTCAATGCCAAATATAATCATTTTACGCATTGTCACGGTTAACATTACATACTAACTGTTCACCCAATGCCACGGTCAACGCAAAATATAATCATTTTACTCATTGTCACAGTTAACATTACACACTAACTGTTCACTCAATGCCACGGTCAACGCCAAATATAATCATTTTACTCATTGTCACAGTTAACATTACACGTTAACTGTTCACTCAGTGGTACGGTCAACGCCAAATATGATCATTTTACTCTTTGTAACAGTTAACATTACACACTAACTGTTCACCCAATGCCACGGTCAACGCCAAATATGATCATTTTACTCATTGTCACAGTTAACATTACACACTAACTGTTCACTCAATGCCACGGTCAACGCCAAATATAATCATTTTACTCTTTGTCACAGTTAACATTACACACTAACTGTTCACCCAATGCCACATCTAGGGTAAAGAATCTCTAATTCTATAACATGAAATCAGACACATTAATGCGAGTTACATCTAGGGTAAAGATTCTATAATTCTATAACCTGAACTCAGGCACATGATGCAAGTTACATCTAGGTTAAAGATTCTATAATTCTATAACATGAAATCAGACACATGATGCGAGTAACATCTAGGGGAAAGATTCTATAATTCTATAACATGAACTCAGACACATGATGCAAGTTACATCTAGGGTAAAGATTCTATAATTCTATAACATGAACTCAGACAAATTAATTAATTACTTTTGATTATGATCATAAGTGTGATACCATTTTCCCTTTTAAAAAACCTTCTGCCAAAATCTTCATCAGCAACTTCACGAACACACATGTTTTCTGTTTCAGGACATTGCTGATGAGAAAAGGATGTGCCTTGTCACCAAGTCATTGCGAAAATGTTTATCTTGCAAGATATTCATGACGTGATGAATAAAACTTGAATGTCTGAATAAAATGTGTGTCATTGTTTTTAATTATTTTTTGTGAAAACCAAAACAACTTGGAACATTCCAGACTCATCCCAGGATCCTGATTAATCATGTTATTGATTCGAAATTAACCGATCGTTTTTCTGTTTGAAAAACGTAATTGTTTTTTAAAAAAACGCAATTCTTTCAAACAAAGTAATTCTGTCAAAAACCGCAATTCTTTCAAAAAACGTAATTCTTCCAAAAAAACTAATTCTTTCAAAAACCTAATTCTTCCCAAAAAGGTAAATCTTTCCAAAAACGTAATTCTCTCAAAAAACGTAATTCTTCCAAAAATTCTTCCAGATTGGGGTGTAAAACAACTTCTGTGACATAGTCACCCCTGCCACTTTCAACCTTGCCTACATGAAGTGGAGTTTGTTTTGTTCATCTGAAAACAAATATAATCGAGGATTTCCGAATGCAAAAGATAACCGGCTCTTATTATGTAGCTCACGATATGGCTGAAATATTGCCAAAGAGACTTTAAATTTTAACTCACTCACTTATTATGTAGCTGATATCCTGTCTATTCTCAGGTCAATGACATATACGCCGAGAGGTGTACTTCATGGTGAAGGTGAGTATGGTTTTATGCCGCGTTTGGCAATGTTCCAGCAATAATACGGCGGAGAACACCAGAAATGGGCTTCATACATTGCACCCATGTGGGGAATCGAACCCGGGCCTTCGCGTGACGAGCGAACGCTTTAACCACTAGACTACCCCACCACCCGTACGTCATCGAGGGTACGTTTGTGTCTTTTGGCGGTATTCTTTGGCAAAGATCGCAATTCCGGAAAAGAGGAGTCAAATGCTCAATATAACAACGGGGCCCGTGAAGGTTAGGGTTAAAATTGGTCAGGTTGACATATGTCATTGGATCCCAGTTGCGTATATCGATGCACATGCTGTTTGTTGATCACTGGATTGTCTGGTTCAGACTCCAAACTCACTCACTCATTATGTCTGAAATGCAAGTCTTGAAGTACCTTTACATTTATATTCATATGAAATACTGAGTGAGTGAGTTTAGTTTTACGCCGCACACAGCAATATTCCAGCTGTATGGCGGCTGTCGTCAGCAACCCATGCTTGTCATAAGAGGGCGGTAAGGTCAGGTTAATATTTAGATCACTTGGTTGTTGGTTGGTTGGTCGGTCGGTTGGTTGGTTTGTTGTTAAACGCCTCACTCAACAATATTCCAGCTGTACACCAGTACTAGACAACTTGAAAGTTTTGATAAACTATCCTGTTCTTGAAAATGCATGAACACGCATACGGAAATTTTGATCTTGGAAACAACTTTTCTTTTTTATCAAAAATATAATTTATTACACCACGTTACATAGTTTTGTTTTTGCGATCCTGTTGCAAACTGTAAATTGTTGTATACCTCTAGTAATAGGGGCGGTGGGGTAGCTTAGTGGTTAAGGCGTTCGCTCGTCAAACCGAAGACCCGGGTTCGATTCCCCACGTGGACACAATGAGTGTATAACAGTCCAGTGCTTGCACAATTATAGTCTGTTCGAGTAAGTGGAGTTCACTTGCCACCAGGGGCGGTGGGGTAGCCTAGTGGTTAAAGTGTTTGCTCGTCACGCCAAAGACCCGGGCTCGATTCCCCACATGGGTACAATGTGTGAAGCCCATTCCTGGTATCCCCCGCAGTGATATTGCTGGAATATTGCTTAAACTAAACTCACTCACTCCCCGCAAGTTCATTCACTGACCACACAGTTTATAGTGATTAATGAACTCAGTCATTAAAAGTAATCAAATATGACATGAGTGAGTGAGTTAATATTTAACGTCACATCGGCAATATCGCAGCCATATCGTGAAGAAAACATGACATGAGGCATGGGGATTATAAAACAGAAATTTGGTTTACGACAAGTCATTCTACAATGGCAGAAGCACATGTTCAATTTGTTCCCAATTCCTGGGGTGGCCAGAGTTTAGTATTTAATGGTTATAAATTTATAGTGGAATCAAGAAGAAACCAAACTGTCCACTGGAGATGCTGTAAGAAAAGTTGTGTATTTGTTGATGTTACATGCAATATTAGTAAAATTAAAAATGTCACCATATTATTCAAATGATTCAGATTCGTGTATTTATTGTATATTCGGAAGCGCTTTTGAGCAGTGATCACTGGATACTAGCGCTATATAAATCCAAAGTTATTATTATTATTATAATTATTATACAAAATGTGTATAAATTGTATAAAAATGAAAATAGAATCCCTGACTAAGCAACGTAATTTTGAGATTGCTGTTATCAGAACCTTAACATTTTTGTAGAAATATTTGTAGAAAATAGGACTGGCATGCAAAGTTAGTGTCAGACTGACAATAGGTATCGCAATACGGGTACCTGAATCGCAATATATTGCAATACAATTTATTTGCCAATACACAGCCATCCTTAATAGTAATAGCCCTGCTATGTTTGGACTTGAGTAATCCCTTACTGTGTGAATTGTACATTGTCTTGAAGTGAATCGTGACCGATCATACGTCGCTGCTGTATGGTTACGTAACTATATCTTGTCCTGAGATGCAACTGCGTCCGCCATACAATAGACAGTCAGCGGGCCCGATGGCTTTGATCGATGTGTCCATCTCACGTCACTGGAGCCTGCTCTGTAGCTGTTGGTGTTCAGTCTGACACATAAACGTATACTGTTAGATTTGCTTGTAGATATACTGTAATCAAAATGTCGATTCCATTTAGGTTCAGTCAGTTATTATATAAGAGAACCTCAAATATTTATGGACGATACTGTAAGTACATTGAGTGTAGTTTACACTGGATTAAGAAGGTAAAGTGCTGAGGCATGCTGTATATATCCACGGGTGTGTTGTGGATGCACGGGCGCTAGCCAATAACATTCACCAGCAAGGTCGGCTGAGAGGGCAGTCACCTGGCTTCAATACCTTACACAGTGTCCTGGAATTGTTCATACCCGACATTATGACTGCAAAAATTTCCGGAGACGCAAAATGTAAGTAAGGCTTTATGCTTTCTATTTCTTGAATTTTTAAAATGTTTCACGCGCACTCAGTAACATGTCAGTTAATGCCTGTGGTGACCACATTCGATATTGACTCACAGGAGTGTCCCTGTGTCACTGACATTGACTTATCTCATCATACTGGAGTGATCGAATACAGGACATATGAATATTATGTGTTTTTTTTGCAATTATCTCAAACAATTATTGGCCTCGATTAATGAATTTGATTTTCCATGCTCCTCACCTATTTGTCTTCAAATTACAACATTGATTTTCTGTTTGTCTTTTGTCATCTTTCATTAATTAGCCTCAATAATATGGTATCGTTTCTTTTGCCCCTGGGTGTATATAATACATACCAGAACACGAAGGCTTTTGGACCTTAAAGGCACTATATCACACCACACTTCTCTTAAAATAAATATTGTATTTCTCTAAATAATACTATCAGTCCTCAGGGAAGCTACCATATAATTTATTCCCAAATAATTTACGTATTTAGATTACAATATTAAAATTAATTATAAAGTTCGAATGAATTAATGCAACGTTGCATTAAATCGTCTGTCTCTAGCGCTCTCAACCGGCCGAACATTTTTTCATTATATCCTGTTATAACTTGTTTTGAAACACCGACAACACCACGGAGGAATTGTTTACATTCCATATATGGCAAGCGTTCTCTGTTTGGAAGCTGTTCGCCTCGCAGTTTCAATTATCGATTTCAGGCAAGTCGTAAGGGATAATAAGTCTTTTATTGCACTAATAGGAAGCTGAAGTGAATGCATACGCCCCAATATATTAATTAAGCAACCCCCGATTCTTTTCATATTGCCATGAAACTGAGCAACCATGACCAGAAGTATGTATACTTGAAGGCTTAAACGCCATTGTTTCCTGACATTTTGGAGTAAACAACAACAAAATCATGAAAATTTGCAATTTGCAGACGTCTTTTGGGGAGTCATAGGTGCTTCAGGGCGCCATTTGTACTGAAGGGCTGGCGTCTCACAAGCCTTGTTGCTAAATCCCGATCTTCAACTTGAGACGTCTTTCGGGGTTGACCTGGCCTTTGTCAGTCCTTACCTTTGTTGGTTTGACGGTGTTCTTGAACAAATCGAGGATGTGGTGCATGTCAAGCTGTCGCCCCATAGCCCAATAGTCGTACATTCAAATAATGTCCCATCTTCTTGCTTCTGGTAGTCTACTTCGTGCCATTGTAACAGATATTGGTAAAATCATTAAAATGTTTTGGCTTTTTATACAGTTAGCCGCGTTGATAGTGCTTCTTGAGACAGTCGTGGGTAGTGTGCTTCAACTGCATTTTGGGATGTGTTTTGACGATTGATTTAGCAAAACCCTTAAACAATATTGAAAGGGAATACAGTTCAAAAAACAGTCATCGTTCCAATTCAAGATTTATCATTAGGTTAGTCAGTAACTTAAAATTTGTTGCTTAATTATAGTCCGTTTGACTTCATTTTAGTCCGATGAATTGCTCACTAACACAAAATCTAATAAATGCAACGAAATAAAACTGTGCACAGTCACATGAAATCGGCAGACCAACTCTGATGAATTGTCTCATAATTTTGGACACACGAATAAAAAAGTTGTTTAACAAACGATCATTGTTTTGTTGTCACGTTTCGGTATGTCTTACGAGGGAGGACCACTTGCTGGTAGAACAGCCAGGTGCGCGAGTTGCACGTGTGAAAGTGAAATTTCGCAAGTTCTACTTTTTAATTTGTTCTCTTGGGTCTGAGAAACTGACTGCGTCTCGACTTTAGTGCTTTCTGTATCCGTGCACGTTCTTCTTTATCCGCAGCAATCTACTTTCACGAAGCATCATCAAGTAACCAAAGCACCGTCAGTATCACCGACACTGGTAAATCCCCTAGCATTAACAATCACACGACGACCAGCCACGATGACAACACGGCATCGACGTACCCGACTGCGATGGAGAAGTACACGTCGTGTCGGTTCCAGCTTTGCTATATCCTGGCCATTGCTTTCACGTTAGTGCTGATCGTTCAGAATGGAATGGCCTTTGCTCTCGTCTGCATGACTGGGGGTAACGCGGCGTCCATTCGTCCTCCAACCAGGGGAGATAACTCCACATACGCGTCAAACGCCAGCTCTATTTGGACTAATGGCTCAAAGCACACGTATTCTGAGTTCAACGGAGAAGAAAATGGAACCGTATTCGAGGTAGTGTTATACTAGACAGTCGTTGAGTGAGTGAGTGAGTTTGACGCTGCTGTGACGGCGTATTGATGTGGGTCTTTGGTTATGAATGTTTTGACTAAGAGCCGTAAACTCCGAGCACATCTGGCAATCACTGTGTCCTTGCACAACTAAGGGACGCAACTCTGCACAGAGAAATGGGTCGTCTGCGACGACTTGGCCCTTTAAACTAAATATCTATGGCGCCCGTCAATAATTGTGTATATACAGCGGCACAATATGATGGTTAACATCAATGTTGGGTTTAAAGGGATGGTAATCTTTCTTCATGGAATCAGAGTATTTGTTTTATCAAAGCACCGCGCCAGAGGCTTGAAATCCACCGATGACATATTTCATCCGAAAATTTGTAAATGTAAAAATTACGTAATCATGTATTTAGTGTGAGTGAGAATGCAGAAAACTTTTAATTCGTGTTGCGTACGCATGTACGTTTATTATTAGTGAGTGAGTTGGGTTGTACGCCGCTTTTAGCAATATTCCAGCAATATCACGGCAGGAGTACCAGAAATGGGCTTCACACATTGTACCCATGTCGGGAATCGAACCCGGGCCTTGAGCGTGACGAACAAACGCGTTAACCACTGGGCTACCCCACCACACCCTTTTATTAGTGAGGTCGGATAGTCATTCGTGTGAGGTTATTGTTTGTCAGGCCCTAGACCCGAGTTCCAATTCCCACATGGGTTAGAATAGAAGAAACCCGCTCTTGTGATCCCATCCCTCTCACCCACCCAAACCCATTTCTTGTTAACCCCCGGAATGTTGCTGGAGGGAATTGATGAAATTCTCTCTCAGAAACCCGAGTTCGACTGGGACAGCGAGACCCAAGGCCTGGTCCTCTCATCCGCCTACTACACCGGCATCGTCTCCCCCTTCTTCGGCAGCGCCCTCTCCAGGAGGTTCGGGCCTAAGAACGTCATCTTCATCGGCCTGTTTATTGGGGGGTTGTCGTCGATGTTGGTACCGACGGGGGCCCGTGCTAGCGTCTATGTCGTGGTTGTTCTGAGACTTCTAATGGGCTTCTTCTTGGTGAGTGAGTGAGTTGTGTCTCTTTGAAAAGTATTCCAGTTAAATGAAGGTGTGTCTGTTAAATGAGGGAGGAAATCCCGAAGTGAAGCAGGCCTCAAACGTTTACTACTTTGGAGCAATCCCAATCTTACGCATATGCCATTTAACAATGCTAAGGACCACACATTTGACCAAAGACGACTATTTCGGTCCTCTTTTATTGCTTCATTAATGTTCTATGAATCAGTCTAAGTAAACTTAGGCTCAGTATTATTCGTTACACTGCTATACTGAGTCTAACAAAACCTAGTAGAAGGTCGCGTCAGCTATGACCGTCCAATCAAACGCGAGACGGCCGAACGGATTTAACCAATCAGACAACGACTACTTGTTAGGGTTCTGCGGGACTTACAAAGCGGTTTGGGGAGTTTCTCTTCCCTGGTCGCTGACACTGATCTATCAACAAACGAAAATCCGCATAAAACACAGATATTTGACCTGCAGAAAGTACGCTTATGGGTTTCTAATGACATGGTTGCTATTTGCTTATATTATCGCAAGATGACATCCTTGAATATTGACAACAACGCTATTTTCAGCGACTGTTTACTCATTGAGTGTAATCAGTCGGAAGAGATCGTGCGGAAAATAGCATTCGGAATCGTTCGAGTTTTTGAGGTAAAGGTTCAAACGGTATGTGCGAATGTTAACTTTCGCGATTTGGTAAGCTGTGTTCTGATTGGTCGGTCCAAAAGGTTAGCTGACGCGACCTTCTACTAGGTTTTGTTAGACTCAGTATAGCAGTGTAACGAATAATACTGAGCCTAAGTTTACTTAGACTGTTTTATTAATATAACAGTAACGACTTTCATTGTTGTCTCCACATCAGAATCTAATTGTGCCGGCGACCCAGGACCTGTGGGCATACTGGGCCCCAGTACAAGACAAGGCGCAGCTCCTCGCCTTCACCTTCACAGGTAGTTACTACTGTTATAACGAACTCGAAAGGATCACTAATTACAGTTCGTCACAACCGTAGCTTGTTATATACACATAATGGTCGACATAAGCGCTTCGTTATCAGCATAGTTTACTGTACCTACTCTCATGTAGACAAATAGGTTTCATTGGCGGATCCAGAGGGTGTGCGTGTGCGTGCGTGCGTGTGTGTGCGTGTGTGCGTGCGTGCGTGCGTGCGTGCGTGTGTGTGTGTGTGTGTGTGTGTGTGTGTGTACAGGGGGTTAGACCCCGACCCCGACACTGAAAATGACTTAAGACCACGTTGAAGATTGTTTTGCGTTGGCGGAGCCAATGGTGTGTGTGTGTGTGTGTGTGTGTGTGTGTGTGTGTGTGTGTGTGTGTGTGTGTGTGTGTGTGTGTGTGTGTGTGTGTGTGTGTGTGTGTGTGTGTGTGTGTGTGTGTTTTCAAAAAATAATAAAAATCCTGGATCCGCCCATGGGCTTTCTTTATATTTTGAGGGATTTGTCAATCGAAACAGGTGAGTGTGTATCTGTATAAGCAGTTGTCTTTCATTACTAACGAACCCGTGAAAATCCGGGTTAGAATTGGTCTAACCCAGGCTTTTCGTAAGAGACGACAAACGGGATTGGTTGATCAGGCTCGCGGACTTGGTTGACACATGTCATCGTATCCCAATTTCGTTGATCGATGCTCATGCTGTTGATCACTGGAATGTCTGGTCTTGACTCGATTATCTACAGACCGCCGCCATATAGCTGGAATATTGCTGGGTGCGGCCACAAACGACAAACAAACAAATAAACAACTGATAACGGTACATTCTCCAAACATAGGGCTTTGTTTATCTAGGCAAGTGACCGCCTCCGTGGTGTAGTGGTTAGAGCGTCCGCCCGGAGAGCGGAAGGTCGCGGGTTCGATCCCCGACTGCGTCATACCAAAAACGTTAAATTATGGTACTTGTTGGTCCCTGTGTGGTGTTCGGCATTAATGGGTACAACAAGGCCTGGTTGGCTTGGAGTCAGTATAATGTGTCTGAGTGGGGTATTCATGCTTCACTGCGGCATGGTACTTCAGTGGGCTAGCACTATAAAACCAGCTAAAGTCTGGGCTAGTACAAGCAGGCCCACATACACACGCATGCACGTCGTCATATGAGCGAAATATTCTCAAGCACGACGTTAAACCCAATTTAACGTACATTTGTAATGTTTTGCATGTGTAACAAATCCAATGTTCGTATATTTCCAATGTTTAACCATTGGTTATCTTTATGTATGCACTATAAGATATGTTCTTTATCTAAAACCTTCAAGAATAACTCTTCAAAACTACAGTTACTTACATTACACTACTGAATAGCTTCACCTTAATGCTGTAGTCTTTAAATCAGAAGCTATTTTTTGAAACGCATTTCGGCATCGAAACATGGATTATGACAACTAAATTGTTTCCACTACTTTCGCAGGCTACACGATTGCCAACATCGTCGCATTTGCAGCCTCTGGTTATCTTTGCACAATACCGATTGATAACGGTTGGCCCTTCATCTTCTATGTCTTTGGTAAGTCTCATGTCTATGTGGTAAATTCTCAAATCTACAATATATACTGACAAGAAATTATTCTTTAATGTCTTTTGAGTAGCATATGTGCTGCAAAACTATCGTTTTGGGGTGTTCTAGTTTTGGTTTAGGATGTACGGCTGCGAAGTTTCTCAGAGAATTTACTGAAATTCCGTGATTTGCAGAAACATGTTTTGGTGATGAGCGCGGTTTTTGTGTATTCCAAGGGGGACTGACCGTCTTGTGGTGTGGATTATGGCTATTGACGGCTCATGAAACACCGGAGTCCCACCCGTCAATTTCACAACAGGAGCTGCAGCACATAGCCAGATACAGGCAGGGTGTGGACCCTGGCAAGGTCAGTCTATCCCTTGACAGACAAAAACCCAATCGGACAGAAACTGTGTCCAAATTTTCTTTCACTTACATTTCATTCATCACGCAACAGTAAACGACATTCTTCTTCAGTGACACTCTTCACAATGCATCCTTGATTTCTGCAGGAAGCGGAAATCCCTTGGCGATTCGAATTGTCCGTCACCTTTTCATTCACCCCGTAACTGTAAACGCTGTCATAGACAATACATCCGCGCAGTTCACAATCATTTGTATGTGTCACTCTTCACGATATATCCACCGAGTGTCTTGATTTCAGCAAAAAGCGGAAATCCCTTTCCGATTCAAATTTTCTGTCACTTTTGCATTCTCCCCGTAACAGTAAACGCTGTCATAAACAATACATCCGTGCACTTCAGGGCGTAGATTTTCGAAGCTCTCTTAGCGCTACGATAGTCGTAGGTGCCATACATTGACATTAACTTACGACTATCTTAGCGCTAAGAGAGCTTCGAAATTCTAGGCCCTGAAGTGCACGGATTTGTAAGGTCACTCTTCACGATATATTCGCCGCATGTCTTGATTTCAGCAAAAAGCGGAAATCCCTTGGCGATGTCTTCTGACCAGTCCTCCGGTCTGGGCATTCGTGGTCGTTTCCTTCTGTCATTTCTGGAACTCTAGCCTCCTATTTAGTTATTTACCCACTTACATGAGCACAGTGCTGATGTTTGACGTCGAGCAGGTGAGCAGATACAGTTTCATTGTACAATAGCCCAAGGAGAGTTACCTCCTTTGGGCGAGTGCGAGTGAGTACAGTTTTACGCCACCTTTAGCAATATTCCAGCAATATCATGTCGGGGGACACCGGAAATGGGATTCACACATTGAATCCATGTGGCGAATCGAACCCAGTTCCTTGGCGTCACGAGCGAACGCTTTAACAACTGAGCTACACCACCGGCCCGTTACCTTGTTTGGGGAGAGAGAGCCTCTATTTCTGATTAAAACGTTTGTTTAACTTGGAAACACAACTATAAAAACTGCCGGGCCAAAGAAAGTATTCACAAATGATTGATGATGGCCAAAATTTCTTTTGGCGGTGGTGGGATGGGAGCTGGTTATGATGGTCATCGTCGTGGCGGGATGGGTGATGGGTGAAGGGGAGCGGTTGGGTAGCTTGTGGGAGGTGGTGGGATGGGAGCTGGTTATGATGGTGTTGTCATCGTCGTGGCGGGATGGGTGATGGGTGAAGGGGAGCGGTTGGGTAGCTTGTGGGAGGTGGTGGGATGGGAGCTGGTTATGATGGTGTTGTCAGCGTCGTGGCGGGATGGGTGATGGTGAAGGGGGGAGGTAGGGTAGCCTAGTGGTTAAAGCGTTGGCTCGTCACGCCGAAGACCCGAATTCGATTCCCCACATGGGTACAATGTGTGAAGCCCATTTCTGGTGTCCCCCGCCGTGATATTGCAGGAATATTGCTAAAAGCGGCGTAAAACCCAACTCACTCACTAATGGTGAAGGTGTATTCGGTGTTTTGAACCTTACGTTTGTAGTGCTTGCGACTTTTAGAGCCAACTAATGTTTTGATAACGTTTGTCTGTTTTAGTAACGTCCAATTTCAAAGAAATTACTATTAGCATGCCAACATCCCTCAGCAGTCGGTTCTCATCTGATATTCTTCTAAATCTTGAATAGTATAATTACCAATTGGCCTAACCGCCTCCGTTGTGTAGTGGTTAGAGCGTCCGCCCGGAGAGCGGACGGTCGCGGGTTCGATCCCCGGCCGCGTCATACCAAAAGACGTTAAAATATGGTACTTGTTGGTCCCTGCCTGGCGCTCGGCATTAATGGGTACAACAAGGACTGGTCGGCTCGGACTCCGTATAATGTGTCTGAGTGGGGTATTCATGCTTCACTGCGGCATGGTATCTCAGTGGGATACCACTATAAAACCAGCTTCAGTCTGGGCTAGTACAAGCAGCCGCACATACACATACACACGCATGCACGTCGTCATATGAGCGAAATATTCTCAAGCACGACGTAAACCCAATTTCACCTCACCTCACCAATTGGTCTGTTATCTTGTGCTTAGAACGGCTTGCTCTCGTCGGTACCGTACATCGCAAGGTTCTGTGGACTTTTCACGTGGACATATCTGTCTGGAGCTCTCGGTAAGAGAATCAGCGTCACCAGAGTCCGGAAGATCGTGCAGACGACAGGTAGGTGAAGCTGCTGCTGCGAAAACAGGGGTGAATTAAAGGACACAGTCAGATCACGACTATGTAGCACAATACATAACAGAGCTACGGATAACATTTTGGGTCATTGAGTTATGTACTCACTTGTGTTCATCTCAGTTGGGTATCCTAATTTCCCTTTGAGGTACCAAATAAATTGTACTCACCTCACTCAAACTCAATTGGGTATTTTGCCATTTTCCATTAATTTTGAAAATATAATAAAGTTTAAATGTTAGTGTTTGCTATTTATATTTGATCTGTAATATGAAAAACGATAAGAAAGACTGCAAGTTGCCAAGTAAATGTCCTGAAATAGAACCTCTCAGTACACCCCAGTTATATTTTATCTATCCACCGGTACGCAAGCTAAGATTTGACAGTTTTGAGTGTACGCATGTAAGATCACATTTATTGAGTATTTACAAACATTCAAGCGTACTTGTACGCAATAGACTTAATTGAAATTAAGTTTTAACATAAATATTTGCGTAATTTACTCAGATACGCAACTTATCTGTACCTCTGATACATAGGTCACGAGGGGCGGTGGGGTAGCCTAGTGGTTAAACTGATGGCTCGTCACCTGAAGACCCGGGTTCGATTCCACACATGAGTACAATATGTGAAGCCCGCAGTGATATTGCTGGAGCCTTGCTAAAAGCGGACTAAAACATACTCACTCACTCACACTGGTCACGATACATATCGCGATACACTTATTCGCGTAAAATGGGGTGGAATCTTTGTGAACATGACTTAAAAAGAGCAGATTCTAAATGAAAAGCCAGATGAAGAGGCATGGTCGTCGAGGCTGTTTTTATTGATAAAGGCTGAGTACAATTCATTTTGAGATATATGACTCATAGGAAGGGGGGTCATTTAAACGAGCAGTAGGTATATTTTAGCAAATTTATTTTCTTGTACCGACATCGTGTTGTTGTTTAGAAACTCACGATGCATGAATTAATAAAACTATAGTTAATACCTAATGTTGCTTTTTTTTATCAGGGCACATACCATTATTATCAAGGGTACAGCTTAAATATACCTTATGCAACCAACCATAAAATGTGTTGTTTTAAGCAGTCTGTCTTTTGGGAAGATACCGTTTGAAGAGGCGTACAACCGTAGAATGGGCTTTTCGCTGATGCAGGGTGTCGCTTCCTTGCTAAAAAAATCATTCAGTATTCGGAAACGTGTTTCCTTTCAGTTTTAGGAATTGATGGTCACGTATCCAATGACGTAGATCGATGGTCATGGTGTCCTTCAATGGATTGTCCTGTCCAGATTATTTACAGACCGCTGACAAACTGTGGACAATTGCCGCGTCTAACTACAAACACTGAAACCAGATGATTATTATAGATTGGTTGATTGGTTGGTTATATAACGCCGCATTCAGGTTTGTAAATAATCGAGTCCTTACCAGACAATCCAGTGATCAACGGCATGAGCATCATTCTGCGCAATTGGGATACGATGAGTGAGTGGGTGAGTTTAGTTTTACGCTGCACTCAGCAATATTCCAGCTATATGGCGAAGGTCACTGTACTTGTATGTATTCAGGGTTTCTGGCAGCGGCACTGCTGACCGTCGGAATCATCAACACCCCGGTGTCACAGAGAACAGTCCACGTCGTGCTGATTGCAGGGGTGACGTCCTGCCAGTGCTGCACCGTCGCCGGGGCCCTTGTCACAACGCTAGACATGGCTCCTCAGTAAGTAGAGGTAGCCTTGGTGAAGGTTTGGGATGGTTAGATTGGCTTGTGATGGGTGGTGGTCGATGTCGTCGTGGCGGGTGGATTGGCTTATGACGGGTGGTGGTTGTCGTTGTCGTTGCCGGATGGGTGGTGGTGAAGGTTGTGGGGTGGGTGGATTGGGGGACGACGGGTGGTGGTCGTCTTGGCGGGATGGGTGGTGGTGCAGGTTGTGGGGTAGGTTGATTGGCGAGAGGATGGGTGGTGGTTGTCGTCGTCTTTGCGGGATGGGTGGTTGTGCAGGTTGTGGGGTGGGTGGATTGGCGAGAGGACGGGTGGTGGTTGTCGTCGTCTTTGCGGGATGGGTGGTTGTGCAGGTTGTGGGATGGGTGGATTGGTGAGAGGACGGGTGGTGGTTGTCGTCTTTGCGGGATGGGTGGTGGAGAAGGTTGTGGGGTGGGTGGATTGGCGAGAGGACGGGTGGTGGTTGTCGTCGTCTTTGCGGGATGGGTGGTGGAGAAGGTTGTGGGGTGGATAGATTGGCGGGATGACGGGGGGTGGTGGTCTTTGCGGGATGGGTGGTTGTGAAGGTTGTGGCGTCGGTGGGTTGGCGGGACGACGGGTGGTCGTCGTCGTGACGGGATGGGTGGTGGAGAAGGTTGTGGGGTGGGTAGATTGCCGGGATGACGGGGGATGGTCGATGTCGTCGTGGCGGGTGGATTTGTGGGACGACGTACGGGTGGTCGTCGTCGTCATCATTGCGGCATGGGTCCTTTTGGGCGACTTTTGTGTGACAGTTCTCGGTTCAAAAGATGACAGTAAAACCTCACTAATCTGGACATAGTTAATCCGGAACCTCTATACTCCGAAAGACGCCCGCAAGAAATGCTCATGCATATTCAAAGAGGACACTTTTTCCTTTTAGATAAACGGCCCCGTTTCTCAAAGCTATCGTAGCCCTAGGACTATCGTAAGTCTATGTTACAGTATAGGAGGTACGACAGCCGTATCGGAATGATAGTTTTGCGAAACGGGGTCCTGATCTCATATTTGCCAGTTTTATCAGGTCAAAAGACGCGATTAGACAAATGTTGGGATGATTTTACAATGGGTGCTGTATGATGTTAACAAACACTCATTCGACTGTCAATGCATTGGGTCATTTTGTGTGTGCGTGCGTGCGTCCTTGCTTGCTTGCTTGTGTTCATGTGTGAGTGTGAGTGTGATTGGAAGTGATGATTGTTTGAGATGATGTTGGGCGGAAGTGATGCGGACAGTATAGGATGGGATGGAATGGACTGATGCTGTACATAGTTACGCCCCTTAGCTGCAGCAGGAGCAACTGATCCGTGGGCCAATGTCAGCGATCTCTGCTTTCGAGTTACGACAACGCCATATTTGCTAGTTTCTTGCTACGCCATACTCATGATGTTATATGACTGAGGCTCTAATCAGCGTGACGTCAAACACATCTCACTTATTCACTAAATGTATTCTGAACATTTGTTTATCTTATCGAAGGTTTGCGTCAGTAATTACAGCACTTGGAACAGCGGGGTCGGTGGTGGCACAGATGTTGTCCCCGTTGAGTACGTCTTACATCATCGTCGACGTGAGTGAATTCTGTATCCTTTCCAGGCTGTCATAAAGGGTGACATATATTGCCATCCGCAACGAATTCTTCTAACTCGCCACAATTGTTTTTTAAATACTTGGATAATTTGGAGTCGACAAGACTGTGCTATTATTCATTTTATTATTATTATTATGTGTATTTTATCCAAGCTCTGATTGTATAGAACGTGACATGGGAATTGGACAATCAAATACGTCTTTATGTATGTCGATATATCTGAAGAACCTTGTGGGAACTTCATATCATTCAACAAAAGATGCATCCATAGAATGGCTAATAAAATGCGGCCTGCTCAAAGAATATCATGAAATTTATATATTTTCTTTGAAAAGTGAGTGAGTGTGATTTTACACCGCTTTTAGCAATATCCCACCAATATCACCAGAAAATGGGACACCAGAAATTGGCTTCGCGCATTGTACCAATGTGGGGATTTCCCCAGCGCGACGAGTGAACACTTTAACCGCTAGGCTTCCCAACCAGCCCTTCCTTAATGAAATACACAATCATTCATTCTTCATGAATTCATTCTTGTCTTTCAGAGGACCCGGGAGCAATGGAACATCGCCTTCTACCTCACCGTCGGCATCTACCTATTTGCCACCACCGTGTTTCTTATTTTCGGAAATGGCGAGTTACAGTCATGGGCAGATAACTCTCGTACTGTCAAGACTGAGGAACCAAATAAAGGTTACCTGAACAGCGCTTACAGCAGTGATACTGCACCACAGAGTGGACCCAAGGAGGAGAAAGACGTTGGTCCAGAAAGGACAATGACACACTCTTGACAACAATTTTCCCATGTAGATTCTGTTCATCCTCATCTCATCTCCATTTTTCGAGATATGGGTTCCACCCTCTGCATGATAATGCATTTACAAAAATTGTCTTACTTTCTTCAATAAAGGAAGTGTTTTCTTCATCAATCCTGAAGGGTTAATGCATTTTCAACAAATTTTGGCAAACTTTGTTTGGCACATTCACAATTCTGGTATATGTTTGCGTATTGGCTGATTGCTTTAGCTAATGGACTGAAAAGAAAAAAATAAATCAAACGTTGACTGTCATTTGTTGTTACTGGGATGTGCACCATGCGATGAAAACAGAGAAACTGAGACATACGTACAAGACAAAAGCATCCTTTAGCTTATTATCATATCAGCACAGGCGAAATGGTATGTTGCTATCTACTCGTGGTGTGACGATTCATCGATACGCATCGATCCGTGGGCCGCCGATACAGTGAATTGATACAAAGTTTTACATTGTTGTATATCCCGATCTGATACTTGAAATGGGCCTCAATACATCGATGTTCAACTTTGAATATTGCCGAATCGCGATATCTGTCAAGACAAAAAGACTTACTTTTGTTTGATGATTAATATGCATATTTAGTTTCCCTTCATAAGTAACGTTTTCTCGAAAATTCTTGCGTCAAGAACTGTGTCAGACATAGCGCTCGCATGTTATTAACATCCACAAAGCTCGTGTACAAACATAATTATCCCGTTTCAGAAAGAACGCTGGCGGAATTTGACGACATACTTTAAAATGGTTGTGTTTTGATCTTAAGGTGTTTTTATAGTTGGTGTTAGAATTAAAGATTTTAGTATCGTGATACGTATCGTATCGCCACCCTTGCATCGGGATTCGTATCGTATCGCAGCTTAAGTGCGCAATACTTTGGCAATATATCGTCGTGACTGAAATATTAGTACTGGATGTATTCTAATACCGATAACGGGGCGGTGGGGTAGCCTAGTGGTTAAAGCGTTGGCTCGTAACGCCGAAGACCCGGGTTCGAATCCCCACATGGGTACAATGTGTTAAGCCCATTTCTGGTGTTCCCCCCGCCGTGATGTAGCTGGAATATTGCTAAAAGCGGCGTAAAACCAAACTCAGTCAGTCAGTCAGTCAACTACGATAACGCACCAAGTATGCTATGGACATACCACCACAATACTGGGTTAATGGTACCGCTTACACTGCGAACAAGCTATGGCCATATAACAACACTATGAATCGCCAACACCAGGAAATACATTCACAGAGCCCTACTGTCAGTGGTTAACATTGTGTTGGATAGATAATGAAAAAATATATATTTACCAATATTATTTACCAATATCAAAGATATATTTATCCTCCAAGTCCACATATAGTCGCTCAGGTACACAATAAATTGGGTGCAATTTCACTTTAATTTATATTTTATTATATCATAAAGTCACACAGGTACACAACTCTATTTTTGTACAATAAATTGGGTGCAATTTCACTTTTAATTTATATTTTTTATTATATCATAAGGTCATACTGGTATTGAGCTAGGTCAGTTGCCAAAGAAACGCAGTGAAATGTCCCATGAAACACACACTGCCCAATAATTTGAGGAAAGTTGATTCGTTTTAAATACTAAGCGTTCCTGAAGAATATTACCTGGGAGATTTGATAAGGCTGGTGTGATGAAACTATTTCACTGACTTACTGAGTGCTGTGTACGAGTGGATCTGGGGATCCTGGCGATATTTTTCAGGGGTGATCTTAAACCACCATTAATAAAGAGGAAGTTGTGAGCTAGGGGTGGGAATATTGAAGTAAATTCTTTACGCCAAGCTTTCTTGACAAGACGATGAATAACAAACCGAAACAGGCTCATTAACCAATTCAGACAATGACCTACTTTTCAGCCGATCCGAATTTTCTCGTTTGAAAGTGGAAAGAGACACTACAAAGAAATATAGTTACACTGAATTCCAATTCCTTGTTTCATAATTCGAAAGTTTAAACAAAATCGTATTTTTATATTTTATGTCGAGGTTAAGGCAGCATGTCGTTAACTGAGACGTCACAGACTACCCCATGTTTGAAGATGTCGTACAATGCGTAGTGTTGCAATATACAAGTGATTAGATGTATCAAATAATACTGATTAATATTTATATATCCAGTTGAATGAGTTGGTCTCAAAATTCTGGACTGGTTATTGTACTAAGTTGCGCAATAGGACGGAACCCAGTCAGCAGGAAACGAGACTGTTGTGTAATCAATGTTTTGACTTGAGACGGAGTTACAGTACGTATACCTGGATATCAAACGTATTTACATTTGGGGCGGTGAGGTAACAGGGTTTTATTCCCCATATGTGTACAATGTATAAAGCTCATTTCTGGTGATCCCACCAAAATATTGTTGGAATATTTCTAAAAGTGGCGTAAAACATACCCCTTCGTTTGCATGAGAACAACGATTGCCCGTGTGATGTGAAACATGATTTCTAACGTCAAAATTAAAAGCCAGTGAACCTCACGCCTCGATTATCCGCAGAAACCATTCGGCATATACAGACAAAATATCGGCGACAACAATACAAATGATTTCATGAAACTCAGGGGTGGCATAGGTGTTTGCAAAAAGGAAAATGGGTTCGGCCCTATCGTTAGCAGCTTGACTTTACAGGGGTTTTTTTCTAAAAAAGATTCCACATGTAGCCAGAAACCCTTCATGTCACTGATGACTGGCCCGACTGGCTATTGAAATTTCATGGGGGTCATTTGGTAAATATATCACTCACTCCGACTTGTTAAGTTATAATACACTTTTAAATCATGCAATATTATGGCCTGATAAAAATGTTCATAATGTTTATGATGAAACCCGTGTCCACATTCAAATTTCGGGCTAGTGAATTATTTTGTGGGCTAGTAACTTTCAGGCATAGCTAGCCCGATTGGCTAGCGAAATTTGGAAACTATTTCGCACACAGCTCTCATGGCACGCTCATTTGGGAGTCGCGGCATATCCGTTTTTTTAATAAAAAGTTTGATGCGTTTTCCTGTTTAGCAATGTCTACTTGCATTCCAATGCACCTGCGATCGCTAAGGTCATGCTGTTACTTGCTTCATTCGGTTGTTGTGTTTATCACGTTTTGACAGTGTTTTATGCCGGTCGCCAAGACCATGCTCAAACAGCCTACATGTGTTTGTCGAGTGTAAAACACAACTACAAGTTAGAAAGAATTACCCCCTCACAATTGTAACGTGGGTGTCAAGTTTCTAATTTTGTGGAGTATATGTTTTATTGAGGGTGGACTTTCAAAACTTTCTATGGGAGCGAAACAAAACAGGAATAGACTCATATAGACTAACAGCTAGTCTCTGAAATAAACATATTTTGAACTAGAATGAAATGCAATAAAAAGGAGCCCAGGTAGTGGAGCGGCTAGTCTGTCATACAGATCCTGAAGCAAATATATCAAAGAAAGCCCACAAAAGTCTAGAAAATGTGGCAAGTCTAGATTTCCTCAGCTTCAGGAATGAAGAAAGTCTCAAGGCTCCTTTTTATTATATTTTCTTTTTTTACTATGAACTTTTTTCAGTAAACTATGTTCATTTCAGAGACGAGTTGTAAGTCTATGGAGCGGCTAAACAGATAAAATGTGCATTTAATGATAAAAGCATGAAACTTTGCACATTTATAGGCTGATACAGTGAACATTATACGATATGGAGGCACTCAAAATAATTTAATTTGCGCATGCGCAGTAGATAAATAATATTTTGCCTTTTCTGGCTCCCGTTATAGCTTTGGGTCTGCCATCAGTACAATAATGGTACGACTTATAAAAAAAAATACTGACCCAAAATACTAGGTAAACATCTTGGCTGAGTCAATGGCTGAACACTGGCTCTCGCACCAGTGCATGTACGTGAGGACTTTTTGCACTTGCATCGGTTGTTACATCCCTTTGTACTGACACGATACCAACTCCTGACAAGATTCTGGTGTAGTGTCGTCCAGTCGGGAACATACTGTCCACTTTCCTTCTGTATCACTCACTTGGAGATGGGAGTTCAGGTTGTGGAAGAATGACTGACCACACACATGACCTGCCTGGTAAGCTGCCCTTTTGACATGCTGTACATATGTTGATGGGATGGCATGAATTGAATTTTTCTTCGCAAATAATATCAAATAAAAGTGATTGAACATAAAAAGAAAAATATTCCCAAAGCATCCTTCCATGATGGTAGAGAAGGAGCAGTTGCCATATAGTGCTCTTACTTCGTGTGGGTTGCGCAGTACATAAACTTTGACATACTATTTTCATCGTTTCCCCTTCGATCTTTAGTATTGCCATTCATTACACACCTATAACTTTCATAAATAGTGATTTACAGGTTCATGAAAAGACAAAAAATACATAGTTTTAGAATAATACAAAACATTTTGAAACAATTAACACTCCCTCTTCCCAAAATGGCGGCTTGCAGACAGCTTTTTGGACTATTGAACTCTTTGAGAACATGTGTGCATGCTTGGGATTTATCTGATTACAAATGACTGAAAATGAGCATAATATGTGACAAAAGAAATGCAGCACAATAAAACAAAATGTCTTGGATATGTTTAACAATCAAAATCTATGTGATTATTCCCCAACTTCATGGCTCAAGGGCAAACAAGGGAGATACTTCAGATTGTCTTTCACAAGGGAGCAGTCATATTTTCCGGTACAAATCATACTTAATTGTGTTTTTTGTTTAATGGTAAATATCAATTGCTTCTCCTCGGAGGGCCCCGCGAGCAAAACTGTAGGTGTATGGGCCGTCACACTGAGGAAAGTATGGAAATAAACTATTTACACCTCACTTGTAGACGAGTACTACAAGTAGTGTAATTTATGTCCAATATTATATATTTTCACAAAACATTTCCTTTTTGGAGCCCCTATCTAAACAATGCGGCTGTTGTCGATATCAACAGCGTGGGCCTGTGCGTTGCCATGACTTTGCACGTGAATCTCGCTTAGTAGTCATGCCCTGGCTCTGCTCCCATGGTTCACACGTTGTATTTGGGTAAACCATTTCAGAGAATGATTTTTAGTTTTGTGCTTTGGATGGAATCTAAACTTTGCAATATAACTTGTAGTCTTAACTTTAAGATGCGCATTTACATAAAAAAATTCTTATCTTTAACTAGCTACAATTAAGGTTCGAAAAGTTTTCAACTGCAGTTTAATTGACAGTGTTTTAGTGGTAGTGTTTTCGGGTACACTCGTGGAGTCGTGCAAACAATGCACCTGACTTGGCCACTTGATAACACGTGATCATGAGCGTTCACCATGTGCTTTCACGATGGAGATGAGCGACAGTGAAGACGCCATTTTGTCAGAACTTCACAGGACATTCAGGAAAGGTACGTGAATATGAATTTGTAATATTGTTCATATCGTTCGACATTATAGCATCTGAATATAAAATGTTTTTGATGCTGGTAAAATGGCTCGCAAATATTGCAATTATCGTTACAATAGTTCAGCTGCGTATGCATACTTTGATTCGTGTTTTACTTGGTTTCAGGTTACCACAGCTACACGTCTTTTCGGGAATAAGGTCGATGAACAATTGGTCATGGAACGAACAGGCCACAGAAGTTTGGCTGTAAGGCTGTACAAGAGAACTTCTGACGGTCTTCAGAAGGAGATATCGGACACGCTGCAACCACCAGCACCGGACAAGAAGGCCACGGCTACATCTTCCCAACCATCAAAGAAGATCGCAATAGAGACAGCAGATAATCAAGATGCCGCTAATTAACAGCGAATCAATATTACATGTACTAACTCCGCGGGAAACGTCATTAATATCAGTTTGTAACAGGTCCAGAATAAATGACTAAAATGATTCTTGTCGTTATTTTTTTAAGTATAACAAAACTGTAGGTGTAAGAAAAAACGGTGGGTGTATCGGCTCATACACCTACAGTTAGAACAAAGGAATCCATCCCATGGCAACGAGCCACAAGTGAGGTGTAAATGAAGGGAAACAGTTCTTGACGCAAATTGTTTCGAGAAAACGTTTACTTATGAAGGGAAACTAAATATGCATATGTTTTAATCATCAAACAAAAGTAAGTCTTTTTGTCTTGACAGATATCGCGATTCGGCAATATTCAAAGTTGAACATCGATGTATTGTGGCCCATTTCAAGTATCAGATCGGGATATACAACAATGTAAAACTTTGTATCGATTCACTGTATCGGCGGCCCACGGATCGATGCGTATCGATGAATCGTCACACCACTAGTAGACAGCAACATAACATTTCGCCTGTGCTGATATGATAATAAGCTAAAGGATGCTTTTGTCTTGTGCGTATGTTTCAGTTTTTCATCGCACATCCCAGTAACAACAAATGACAGTCAACGTTTGATATATTTTTTCTTTTCAGTCCATTAGCTAAAGCAATCAGCCAATACGCAAACATATACCAGAATTGTGAATGTGCCAAACAAAGTTTGCCAAAAATTTGTTGAAAATGCATTAACCCTTCAGGTTTGAAGAAAACAATCTTTATTGAAGAAAGTAAGACAACTTTTGTAAATGCATTATCATGCAGAGGGTGGAACCCATATCTCGAAAAATGGAGATGAGATGAGGATTTACAGAATCTGCATGGGAAAATTGTCAAAAGTGTGTTATTGTTCTTTCTGAACCAACGTCTTTCTTCTCTTTCGGTCCACTCTGTGGTGCAGTATCACTGCTGTAAGCGCTGTTCAGGTAACCTTTATTTGGTTCCTTGGTCTTGACAGTACGAGAGTTATCTGCCCATGACTGTAACTCGCCATTTCCGAAAATAAGAAACACGGTGGTGGCAAACAGGTAGATGCCGACGGTGAGGTATAAGGCGATGTTCCATTGCTCCCGAGTCCTCTGAAAGACAAGAATGAATTCATGAAGAATGAATGATTGTGTATTTCATTAAGGAAGGGCTGGTTGGGAAGCCTAGCGGTTAAAGTGTTCACTCGTCGGGCATGGGAAATCCCCACATGGGTACAATGCGTGAAGCCAATTTCTGGTGTCCAATTTTCTGGTGATATTGCTCGAATATTGCTAAAAGCGCTGTAAAATCACACTGACTCACTTTTCAAAGAAAATATATAAATTTCATGGCATTCTTTGAGCAGACCGCATTTTATTAACCATTCTATGGATGCATCTTTTGTTGAATGATATGAAGTACCAACAAGGTTCTTCAGATATATCGACACACATAAAAACGTATTTGATTTTCCAATCCCATGTCACGTTCTATACAATCAGAGCTTGGATAAAATACATAAAATAATAATAATAATACACTTCCCACTCGTAATCGCCTAAATGTGATTCTTAAAGAGAATATTAACATGAAATGTCGACTTTGCAATGAATTCACAGAGACTGTCCAACATCTTGTCAGTGGATGCCCTTTCTTGGCACAAACAGCATATCTTAAACGACATGATGGCATGGCTCGCTGCTTTTACTACCGTCTCCGACATGCCTGTGGCTTTGACTCCGAGGTCCATCCATGGTACGACCCTGAACATGTCCAGGGCGTCATGGAAAATGATGCTTTCAAACTTCTGTGGAATAGGCCCATATACAGCCTCAGAAGAATTCCTGCCAACAAACCTGATCTTGTCCTTTTGGATAAAGCCATGAATTTATATATATCATTGAATTTTCTGTCCCTTTTGACAGGAATGTGACTGACAAGATCAAGGAAAAGCATGATAAATATGCGGACCTCGCCTTTGAAATGTATCGCTTGCATCCCAAGTACACTGTCGTCAGGCTCCCCATTGTTCTCGGTGCCCTTGGTTTGGTACCTCCTGATCTTTTGGCGCAGATCAGCACAGTGCCCGGGTTCTCCACCGGGAGTACAGCCCTTCTGACACTCTGGGTAATGCAGAAGGCTGCAGTGTTGGGGAGCCTTCATATTCTCCGGAAAGTTCTTGGTGGGTTCGACTAGGCAGCGTTTCCTGGGAGAAGTCCCATTCGCTGTCTGGGCTGCGTGTAGAGGGGGCAAGGGCCCTGAGCTGATGATGAGCCTTACCAGCCTGACTGTGCCAGGATCACCCGAACCCTCTCTGCTGCATATTATCTTTAATCTGTAAAACATAATAAAATGAATAATTGGAGATACAAGTCCATTTTACGCCTAACGTGCCGGTATACATATGTCTATATCTGTCCATGTGCTGCAAACCATTTACCATACAGTGTATTGGTGCAGCATCCAATTTCTTTTGTGTTCTTTTATCGGAACTCGTTGGGAGCTGGTGGTCCCCGCTCCACAAAGCGATCTAGACCTACGTATGCCGTTAGCAGGGATAGGTATTGCAGAGAATTTTCATACTGCAATATATTGCGATGCGAAAGCATATATTGCGATATGTATTGCAATATATTGCAAGAAGTATTTTTAAACATAAAATAGAGTTAATGCTTGATTTATAGAGCATGAACACAACAAAATAACTATGCTTGATTAAGCTTTAACAACAACCTTCAATCATGACAAAAAAATGTAAATAATATTTGGCACAAATGAAACAAGGAAATATCCGAAGATTTCCGAGTGTTACGAAGTTTTCCGAATGCAAGTCGAAATACCGGTTTTTGATCAGCATATTGCAATACGTGTCGTTTTCATGTCTGAACCGGTAAACAGCCCTTGCCGTTAATCTGTTACATTTTGATATTGTGATCATCTCAGAGCAATGATCGCTTTGTGAAACCGCGCCCTCGACCAACTTGCACGAAGAGATATAAGAGTGAGTGAGTGAGTTTAATTTTACGGCACACTCAGCAGTATTCCAGCTATATGGCGGCGGTCTGTAAATAATCGCGCGTGGACCAGACAATCCAGTGATCAACAGCATGAGCATCGATCTGCGCAATTGGGAACCGATGACATGTGTCAACCAAGTCAGTGAGCCTGACCACCCGATCCCGTTAGTCGCCTCTTACGACAAGCATGGGTTACTGAAGAGCAATTCTAACCCTGATCTTCACGGGTAGAGACATTAGAGCTATAAGAGGATTGCAACTCACATACTTTAACTCTTACGACCGCCTCGGGTGGTCAGGCTCGTTGGCTTGGTTGACACATGTCATCGGTTCCCAATTGCGCAGATCGACGCTCATGCTGTTGATCACTGGATTGTCTGGTCCAAACTGGATTATTTACAGACCGCCGCCATATAGCTGGAATATTGCTGAGTGCGGGGTAAAACTAAACTCACTCACTTACGACCGCCATAGCGCTAAGGGAGCTTTGTGTTCTGGCGTGTTCTACTTTGATATATTATTGTTACGAATGACTTTATTAATGAATGGGAGTTAAGATCACCTTAACGCTAAGATCACTTTAGATAGCACTGTCTTGTCGACTCCAAATTATCCAAGTATTTAAAAAACAATTGTGGCGAGTTAGAAGAATTCGTTGCGGCTGGCAATATATGTCACCCTTTATGACAGCCTGGAAAAGATACAGAATTCACTCACGTCGACGATGATGTAAGACGTACTCAACGGGGACAACATCTGTGCCACCACCGACCCCGCTGTTCCAAGTGCTGTAATTACTGACGCAAACCTTCGATAAGATAAACAAATGTTCAGAATACATTTAGTGAATAAGTGAGATGTGTTTGACGTCACGCTGATTAGAGCCTCAGTCATATAACATCATGAGTATGGCGTAGCAAGAAACTAGCAAATATGGCGTTGTCGTATTGTAAGCCCACGAAAGCAGAGATCGCTGACATTGACCCACGGATCAGTTGCTCCTGCTGCAGCTAAGGGGCGTAACTATGTACAGCATCAGTCCATTTCATCCCATCCTATACTGTCCGCATCACTTCCGCCTAACATCATCTCAAACACATCACTTCCAATCACACTCACACTCACACATGCACACAAGCAAGCAAGGACGCACGCATGCGCGCACGCACGCACACACAAAATGACCCAATGCATTGACAGAGGAATGAGAGTTTGTTAACATCATACAGCACCCATTGTAAAATCATCCCTACATTTGTCTAATCGCATCTTTTGACCTGACAAAACTGTTGTCTTCATGGTAGCGAAACTCTTGAAAATATGAGATCAGGACCTCGTTTCGCAAAACTATCATTCCGATACGGCTGTCGTACATCCTATGCTGTAACAGAATTACGATAGTCCCAGCGCTACGATAGCTTTGAGACACGGGGCCCTTTATCTAAAAGGAAAAAGTGTCCTCTTTGAATATGCATGAGCATTTCTTGTGGGTGTCTTTCGGAGTATAGAGGTTCCGGATTAACCATGTCCAGATTAGTGAGGTTTTACTTTCATCTTTTGAACCGAGAACTGTCACACAAAAGTCGCCCAAAACGACCCATACCGCAATGATGACGACGACGACGACCACCAGTCGTCCCACCAATCCACCCATCCCACAACCTACACCAACACCCATCACGCAAAGACGACGACAACCACCACCCGTCCTCTCGCCAATCCACCCGCAACGACGACGTCGAACACCCCCCGCCATCCCGGCAATCTACCCACCCCACAACCTTCACCGCCACCCATCACGCCAAGACGACCATCATCCGTCATCCCCCAAATCCACCCACCCCACAACCTTCACCACCACCCATCACGCAACGACGACGACAACCACCACCCGTCCTCTCGCCAATCCACCCGCCACGACGACATTGACCACCACCCGTCATAAGCCAATCTAACCATCCCAAACCTTCACCAAGGCTACCTCTACTTACTGAGGAGCCATGTCTAGCGTTGTGACAAGGGCCCCGGCGACGGTGCAGCACTGGCAGGACGTCACCCCTGCAATCAGCACGACGTGGACTGTCCTCTGTGACACCGGGGTGTGGATGATTCCGACGGTCAGCAGTGCCGCTGCCAGAAACCCTGAATACATACAAGTACAGTGACCTTCGCCATATAGCTGGAATATTGCTGAGTGCGGCGCAAAACTAAACTCACTCACTCACTCATCGTATCCCAGTTGCGCAGAATGATGCTCATGGTGTTGATCACTGGATTGTCTGGTAAGGACTCGATTATTTACAAACCTGAATGCGGCGTTAAACAACAAACCAACCAATCGATCTATAATAATCATCTGGTTTCTGTGTTTGTTGTTAGACGCGGCAATTGTCCACAATTTGTCAGCGGTCTGTAAAAGTCTGGACCGGACAATCCATTGAAGGACACCATGACCATCGATCTACGTCATTGGATACGTAACCATCAATTCCTAAAACTGAAAGGGAACACGTTTCCATATACTGAATGATTTTTTAGCAAGTAAGCGACACCCTGCATCAGCGAAAAGCCCATTCTACGGTTGTACGCCTCTTCAAACGGTATCTTCCCATAAGACAGACCTCCCAAAAGACAGACCGCTTAAAACAACACAGTTTATGGCTGGTTGCATAAGGTTTATTTAAGCTGTACCCTTGATAATAATGGTATGTGCCCAGACAAAAAAAGCAACATTAGGTATTAACTATAGTTTTATTAATTCATGCATCGTGATGCAACAACACGATATCGGTACGAGAAAATAAATTTGCCACAATATACCTACTGCTCGTTTAAATGACCCCCCCTTCCTATGAGTCATATATCGCAATATGAATTGTACTCAGCCTTTAATAAAAACAGCCTCGACGACCATGCCTCTTCATCTGGCTTTTCACTTAGAATCTGCTCTTTTTGAGTCATATTCACAAAGATTCCACCCGATTTTACGCGAATAAGTGTATCGCGATATGTATCGTGACCAGTGTGAGTGAGTGAGTATGTTTTAGTCCGCTTTTAGCAAGGCTCCAGCAATATCACGGCGGGATTCACATATTGTACTCATGTGTGGAATCGAACCCGGGTCTTTGGGTGACGAGCCATCAGTTTAACCACTAGGCTACCCCACCGCCCCTCGTGACCTATGTATCAGAGGTACAGATAAGCTGCGTATCTAAGTAAATTACGCAAATATTTATGTGAAAACTTAATTTCTGTTAAGTTTATTGCGTACAAGTACGCTTGAATGTTTGTAAATACTCAATAAATGTGATCTTACATGCGTACACTCAAAACTGTCAAATCTTAGCTTGTGTACCGGTGGATAGATAAAATAACTGGGGTGTACTGAGAGGTTCTATTTCAGGACATGAACTTGGCAACTTGCAGTCTTTCTTATCGTTTTTCATATTACAGATCAAATATAAATAGCAAACACTAACATTTAAACTTTATTATATTTTCAAAATTAATGGAAAATGGCAAAATATCCAATTGAGTTTGAGTGAGGTGAGTACAATTTATTTGGTAACTCAAAGAGAAATTAGGATACCCAACTGAGATGAACACAAGTGAGTACATAACTCAATGACCCAAAGGGTTATCTGTAGCTCTGTATGTATTGTGTTACATCGTCGTGATCTTGCTGTGTCCTTTAATTCACCCCTGTTTTCGCAGCAGCAGCTTCACCTACCTGTCGTCTGCACGATCTTCCGGACTCTGGTGACGCTGATTCTCTTACCGAGAACTCCAGACAGATATGTCCACGTGAAAAATCCACAGAACCTTGCGATGTACGGTACCGACGAGAGCAAGCCGTTCTAAGCACAAGATAACAGACCAATTGGTAATAATACTATTCAAGATTTAGAAGAATATCAGATGAGAACCGACTGCTGAGGGATGTTGGCATGCTAATAGTAATTTCTTTTGAAATTGGACGTTACTAAAATAGACAAACGTTATCAAAACATTAGTTGGCTCTAAATGTCGCCAGCACTACAAACGTAAGGTTCAAAACACCGAATAAACCTTCACCATTAGTGAGTGAGTTGGGTTTTACGCCGCTTTTAGCAATATTCCTGCAATATCAGGGCGAGGGACACCAGAAATGGGCTTCACACATTGTACCCATGTGGGGAATCGAATCCGGGTCTTCGGCGTGACGAGCGAACGCTTTAACCACTAGGCTACCCCACCTTCCCCCTTCACCATAACCCATCCCGCCACGACGCTGACAACACCATTATAACCAGCTCCCATCCCACCACCTCCCACAAGATACCCCACCGCCCCACTTCACCCATCCCGCCACGACGATGACAACACCATCATAACCAGCTCCCATCCCACCACCGCCAAAAGAAATTTTGGCCATCATCAATCATTTGTGAATACTTTCTTTGGCTCGGCAGTTTTTATTGTTGTTTTTCCAAGTTAAACAAACGTTTTAATCAGAAATAGAGGCTCTCATTCTATCTGTTTTCTCCGTCTCTCCTCAAACAAGGTAACGGACCGTTGGTGTAGCTCAGTTGTTAAAGCGTTCGCTCGTGACGCCAAAGAACTGGGTTCGATTCGCCACATGGATTCAATGTGTGAATCCCATTTCCGGTGTCCCCCGACATGATATGAATATTGCTAAAGGTGGCGTAAAACTGTACTCACTCGCACTCGCCCAAAGGAGGTAACTCTCCTCGGGCTATTGTACAATGGAACTGTATCTTCTCACCTGCTCGACGTCAAACATCAGCACTGTGCTCATGTAAGCAGGTAAATAACTAAATAGGAGGCTAGAGTTCCAGAAATGACAGAAGAAAACGACCACGAATGCCCAGACCGGAGGACTGGTCAGAAGACATCGCCAAGGGATTTCCGCTTTTTGCTGAAATCAAGACATACGGCGGATATATCGTGAAGAGTGACCTTAAAAATCCGTGCACTTCAGGGCCTAGATTTTCGAAGCTCTCTTAGCGCTAAGATAGTCGTAAGGTTACGGCGTGAATTTAAAAGTGACAGAAAATTTGAATCGGAAAGGGATTTCCGCTCTTTGATGAAATCTAGACACTCGGTGGATACATCGGGTAAAGTGACACATACAAATGATTGTGAACTGCGCGGATGTATTGTCTATGACAGCGTTTACAGTTACGGGGTGAATGAAAAGGTAACGGACAATTCGAATCGCCAAGGGATTTCCGCTTCCTGCAGAAATCAAGGATACATTGTGAAGAGTGTCACTGAAGAAGAATGTCGTTTACTGTTGCGTGATGAATGAAATTTAAGTGAAAGAAAATTTGGACACAGTTTCTGTCCGACTGGGTTTTTGTCTGTCAAGGGATAGACTGACCTTGCCAGGGTCCACACCCTGCCTGTATCTGGCTATGTGCTGCATCTCCTGTTGTGATATTGACGGGTGGGACTCCGGTGTTTCATGAGCCGTCAACAGCCATAATCCACACCACAAGACGGTCAGTCCCCCTTGGAATACACAAAAACCGCGCTCATCACCAAAACATGTTTCTGCAAATCACGGAATTTCAGTAAATTCTCTGAGAAACTTCGCAGCCGTACATCCTAAACCAAAACTAGAGCACCCCAAAACGATAGTTTTGCAGCACATATGCTACTCAAAAGACATTAAAGAATAATTTCTTGTCAGTATATATTGTAGATTTGTGAATTTACCACATAGACATTAGACTTACCAAAGACATAGAAGATGAAGGGCCAACCGTTATCAATCGGTATTGTGCAAAGATAACCAGAGGTTGCAAATGCGACGATGTTGGCAATGTTGTAGCCTGTGAAAGTAGTGGAAACGATTTAGTTGTCATAATCCATGTTTCGATGCCGAAATGCGTTTCAGAAAATAGCTTCTGATTTAAAGACTACAGCATTAAGGTGAAACTATTCAGTAGTGTAATGTAAGTAACTGTAGTTTTGAAGAGTTATACTTGAAGGTTTTAGATAAAGAACATATCTTATAGTGCATACATAAAGATAACCAGCGGTTAAAAATTTGAAATATAGGAATATTGGATTTGTTACACATGCAAAACATTACAAATGTACGTTAAGTTATTCCAAAATTAGAGAAAGAAGGTCGAAATAAGTTGGCAGTGTAAATCAGTGTTCTACGCATCTATCACTTGCACAGATAGGTGAGGTGAAATTGGGGTTAACGTCGCGCTGGAGAATATTTCGCTCATGTGACGACGTGCTTGCGTGTGTATGTGTATGTGCGGCTGCTTGTACTAGCCCAGACTGAAGCTGGTTTTATAGTGTTAGCCCACTGAGATACCATGCCGCAGTGAAGCATGAATACCCCACTCAGACACATTATACTGACTCCGAGCCGACCAGTCCTAGTTGTACCCATTAATGCCGAGCGCCAGGCAGGGACCAACAAGTACCATAATTTAACGTCTTTTGGTATGACGCGGTCGGGGATCGAAACCGCGAGCCTGACCACCCGATCCCGTTTGTCGTCTCTTACGAAAAGCATGGGTTAGACCAATTCTAACTCGGATTTTCACCGGTTTGTTAGCAATCCTGAAAGACAACTGCTCATACAGATACACGCTCTACTGTTTCGATTGACAAAACCCTCCAAAGATAAAGAAAACCCATGGTCGGATCCAGGATTTTATATATTTTTTTTAATTTTTTGGGGGGCGGGGGCGGGGGGGGACCCTCCGTCAACGCAAAAAAATCTTCAATGTGGTCTTTAGTCATTTTCAAGGGGGTGGGGGTGGGGGTGTGTTCCGAAACCCCCTCTGGATCCGCCAATGAAACCTATTTGTCTACATGAGAGTAGGTACAGTAAACTATGCTGATAACGAAGCGCTTATGTCAACCATTAAGTGTATATAACAAGCTACGGTTGTGACGAACTGTAATTAGTGATCCTTTCGAGTTCGTTATAACAGTAGTAACTACCTGTGTAGGTGAAGGTGAGGAGCTGCGCCTTATCTTGTACTGGGGCCCAGTATGCCCACAGGTCCTGGGTCGCCGGCACGATTAGATTCTGATGTGGAGACAACAATGAAAGTCGTTACTGTTATATTCATAAAACAGTCTAAGTAAACTTAGGCTCAGTATTATTCGTTACACTGCTATACTGAGTCTACAAAACCTAGTAGAAGGTCGCGTCAGCTAACCTTTTGGACTGACCAATCAGAACACAGCTTACCAAATCGCGAAAGTTAACATTCGCACATACCGTTTGAACCTTTACCTCAAAAACTCGAATGATTCCGAATGCTATTTTCCGCACGATCTCTTCCGACTGGTACACTCAATGAGTAAACAGTCGCTGAAAATAGCGTTTTTGTCAATATTCAAGGATGTCATCTTGCGATAATATAAGCAAATAGTAACCATGTCATTAAAAAACCCATAAGCGTATATACTGCAGGTCAAATATATGTGTTTTATGCGGATTTTCGTTTGTTGATAGATCAGTGTCAGCGACCAGGGAGGAGAAAATCCCCAAACCGCTTTGTAAGTCCCGCCGAACCCTAACAAGTAGTCGTTGTCTGAATTAGTTAAATCCGTTCGGCCGTCTCGCGTTTGATTGGACGTCATAGGTCGCTCAAAGGCGACGCGACCTTCTACTAGGTTTTGTTAGACTCATTATAGCAGTGTAACGAATAATACTGAGCCTAAGTTTACTTAGACTGATTCATAGAACATCATTGAAGCAATAAAAGAGGACCGAAATAGTCATCTTTGGTCAAATGTGTGGTCCTTAGCATTGTTAAATGGCATATGCGTAAGATTGGGATTGCTCCAAAGTAGTAAACGTTAGAGGCCTGCTTCACTTCGGGATTTCCTCCCTCATTAAACAGACACACCTTCATTTAACTGGAATACTTTTCAAAGAGACACAACTCACTCACTCACCAAGAAGAAGCCCATTAGAAGTCTCAGAACCACCACGACATAGACGCTAGCACGGGCCCCCGTCGGTACCAACATCGACGACAACCCCCCAATAAACAGGCCGATGAAGATGACGTTCTTAGGCCCGAACCTCCTGGAGAGGGCGCTGCCGAAGAAGGGGGAGACGATGCCGGTGTAGTAGGCGGATGAGAGGACCAGGCCTTGGGTCTCGCTGTCCCAGTCGAACTCGGGTTTCTGAGGGAGAATTTCATCAATTCCCTCCAGCAACATTCCGGGGGTTAACAAGAAATGGGTTTGGGTGGGTGAGAGGGATGGGATCACAAGAGCGGGTTTCTTATATTCTAACCCATGTGGGAATTGGAACTCGGGTCTATGGCCTGACAAACAATCACCTCACACGAATGACTATCCGACCTCACTAATAAAAGGGTGTGGTGGGGTGACCCAGTGGTTAACGCGTTTGTTCGTCACGCTCAAGGCCCGGGTTCGATTCCCGACATGGATACAATGCGTGAAGGCCATTTCTGGTACTCCCGCCGTGATATTGCTGGAATATTGCTAAAAGCGGCATACAACCCAACTCACTCACTAATAATAAACGTACATGCGTACGCAACACGAATTAAAAGTTTTCTGCATTCTCACTCACACTAAATACACGAGTTCGTAAATTTTTACATTTACAAATTTTCGGATGAAATATGTCATCGGTGGATTTCAAGCCTCTGGCGCGGTGCTTTGATATAACATATTCTCTGATTCCATGAAGAAAGATTACCATCCCTTTAAACCCAACATTGATGTTAACCATCATATTGTGCCGATATATATACACAATTATTGACGGGCGCCATAGATATTTAGTATAAAGAGCAAAGTCGTCCCAGACGCCCCATTTCTCTGTGCAGAGTTGCGTCCCTTAGTTGTGCAAGGACACGGTGATTGCCAGATGTGCTCGGAGTTTACGGCCCTTAGTCAAAACATTCATAACCAAAGACCCACATCAATACGCCGTCACAGCAGCGTCAAACTCACTCACTCACTCACTCACTCACTCACTCACCCACTGTCTAGTATAACACTACCTCGAATACGGTTCCATTTTCTTCTCCGTTGAACTCAGGATACGTGTGCTTTGAGCCATTAGTCCAAATAGAGCTGGCGTTTGACGCGTATGTGGAGTTATCTTCCCTGGTTGGAGGACGAATGGACGCCGCGTTACCCCCTGTCATGCAGACGAGAGCAAAGGCCATTCCATTCTGACCAATCAGCACTAACGTGAAAGCAATGGCCAGGATATAGCAAAGCTGGAACCGACACGACGTGTACTTCTCCATCGCAGTCGGGTACGTCGATGCCGTGTTGTCATCGTGGCTGGTCGTCGTGTGATTGTTAATGCTAGGGGATTTACCAGTGTCGGTGATACTGACGGTGCTTTGGTTACTTGATCCTGCTTCGTGCAAGTAGATTGCTGCGGATAAAGAAGAACGTGCACGGATACAGAAAGCACTAAATTCGAGACGCAGTCAGTTTCTCAGACCCAAGAGAACAAATTAAAAAGTAGAACTTGCGAAATTTCACTTCACACGTACAACTCGCGCACCTGACTGTTCTACCAGCAAGTGGTCCTCCCTCGTAAGACATACCGAAACGTGACAACAAAACAATGATCGTTTGTTAAACAACTTTTTTATTCGTGTGTCCAAAATTATGAGACAATTCATCAGAGTTGGTCTGTCGATTTCATGTAACTGTGCACAGTTTTATTTCGTTGCATTTATTAGATTTTGTGTTAGTGAGCAATTCATCCGTCTAAAATGAAAAACGGACTATAATTAAGCACCCACTAACAAATTATAAGTTTCTGACTTACCTAATGATAAATCTTGAATTGGAACGATGACTGTTATTTGAACTGTATTCCCTTTCAATATTGTTTAAGGGTTTTGCTGAATCAATCGTCAAAACACATCCCAAAATGCAGTTGAAGCACACTACCCACGACTGTCTCAAGAAGTACTATCAACGCGGCTAACTGTGTAGAACGCCAAAACGTTTTAATGATTTTACCAATATCTGTTACAATGGCACGAAGGAGACTACCAGAAGCAAGAAGATGGCACATTATTTGAATGTACGACTATTGGGCTATGGGGCGACAGCTTGACATGCACCACATCCTCGATTTGTTCAAAAACACCGTCAAACCAACAAAGGTAAGGACTGACAAAGGCCAGGTCAACCCCGAAAGACGTCTCAAGTTGAAGATCGGGATTTAGCAACAAGGCTTGTGAGACGCCAGCCCTTCAGTACAAATAGCGCCCTGAAGCACCTATGACTCCCCAAAAGACGTCTGTGCAATAGTGGTGTCACACGTTTATTGCTCAAAATACTCCACCATCGGTGGTACATGAGTATAACAAAGGAGTACCTGCCTATCTTGTCCAACAAGATGACTAAATGATACATCAATTAAAATGTTTACAAACAATCTTAATGAACTTGGATACATTTTAAGGGAAGATATTTTACTTGAAAAAAGTGGACGGAACTTTGACAAATTTGGCCAGGAACTATAAGGTTCTTTTAACAACGATTTACGTATGTCTGCAAAATAGTTACATTTAAACAAATAGTGAAACTCATCTCCAATCAAATGTGAGTCACATAAGTTACAAAATCTTTGTTCTTTTGGGGTATTTTGCCATCTCCCAGTTTCTATGGGGAGTTTATGGTTGCATGTTCTAAATTTTAGGTTCGGTTTAGAAATATCATCTGAGAGAAGTAGGTCTTGTTCAAATTTTGGAGAGGGGCTTTCTTCATTTTCAGACTTGCATGGGCTTCATTGGGTATATTTGTTCACGGTCTGTATGACCAGACTAAGACTCAAATAACTGATTACGTTAATCGCGCGTTTGAGTGGGACAAATGAAGGCTATATATGTTTATGAGAAATGAAGGCGTTTCTTTTTTTAAATACACTATTCTTTGCATTATTTGTAGGCAAAACAATGAATAAAAGATATTGACTGCATGTCAAACTTGATAAACAAACAATTTTGACCGCTTTTAGAGAAGAAATTGTCTGCCTTGAAGCCCTCGTTCCGCTGTTCACATCATCACAACATCACATCTGCGACATCTCGTCCGCGTCGTTGATGTACCCTGCGTTCACTTCACTCTGCTTTTCGGGCCTGGGCACTTCAACGTCATTCCTGACAGAGTTATCTGCCCATGGCTGGAGCTCCCCACTGCCAAAAATCAGGAAAACTAAGGCTCCGAAAACATACACGGCGGAGTTTAAATAAAAGACCGAAGCCCACTGTTCCCTGGTTTTCTGCAAATGACAAAAAAGAGAAGTGAATATTGTTCCATGATTGATCGCCGGTTGTTTACGTCACCAGAAGACCCCTGTGGCAGAGGTGCTATGCTGGCCGTATGGTCCCATGGGTAGGGAGTGGTTTGATGCCATTTATCAGACATGGACTTCTTGCCATGGGTGTGCAAGAATTGTAATATTACCTCTGTGATCATGAAGGCCACTGATACTGGTGCTGTAGACATCGCGGTCATCGACGAGGCCATCCCAACTGACGTTATCATGGAAGCGTATCTGAGGAAAACGTCCAAACTGTAGACAGCATTTCCCACTGAAGGATTACTAATATATATGTCGATGCATTCATTCATTCATTCATTCATTCATTTATTTATTTATTTTGCTTTCTTTTCATTCTTGCCAAGAATTATATATAATTGGGTGAGGGGGTCACTGTTGCTTACCGCAGCAGTCAACAATAACCAGATTATATCACTTCCGGCCGAAGTGAGTGAGTTGGCTTTTACGCCACTTTTTGTAACATACAAGCAATATCACGGCAGATAGACATCGGAAATATGCTTCATAGATTGTTCCCATGTGCGGAAACGAATCAGGGTGTTCGGCGTGACGAGCGAACGCTTTTACCACAAGGCTACCTCACAAGTCAGCTATCATTCATGGCGAACATCAGTTTGAAATTGTTGCAGCTTCAAACAAAAAGAGCAGCTTAAAAATATACTGATTTTCACTGACAATATATACCAGCGGTCTGACTTGCTATGTCACAACGTTGACACTTTCGGAAAAACTGTGAGCCGGTTGTAAGACTTAGTCATATTTAGCAAAAGTCAAAAGTCAAAAGCAAAAGAGTGGTGTGTGGGTACCAGGAAGAGCATACTCACAGCTATACATGCTGGGAATCAATCCGGATAAGTGGTGCAACCAATGAACACTTGAACCACTATGCTACACCGCGAAGCCCCACAACTCTGAACCCCTGCTGTTTAAAATCCAAACCTGTTGTACACACTCGAAATGCGCTTTTAGTTGCTTAACGTCACAGTTCATTTTAATGGTGGTGACCTGTTGTCAGTTAAGTCAGACCACACAAGCCAGTGATTGATATCATGAGCAACACCCACCTTCAGGGTTCGATGACACGCAATAAACTATCACCGAAGCTGACTATCCGGTGATCCAGTTGCATTGTAAGATAGAACGTTACTAAGTTAAAGGCCCGGGTTCGATTCCCAACGTGGGTAAAATGAGTGAAGCCCATTTCAGGTGTCCAAAGCCGTAATATTGCTGCAATATTGTTAAAAGCGTCGTAAACCACTCACTCACTCAATACTTACTGTGGAGCAAGGTCCACTGGACTTATGATTGCTGCATTGACTGTGACAGCCATGAACGGCGTGGCCACTGCGAACATGGCAACTGCAATATACTCTTGACCATCCTCCAGATAGCAAAGGCCAAAGGTTATTGCAGCGGCCACCATGTATCCTTCAACAAAAAGACGTGATGATTTATAATTCGGGGTAATTTGGTTGAACACCGGGTGTTAAAAGCTTGATGTGGGGTGACAGCCCAAAATGAAATGATTGAATGAGTTTGGTTTGACGCCGCTTTTAGCCATATTCTAGCAATATCACGGCCTGGGACACCAGAAATGGGCTATACACATTGTACCCATCGAACCCGGGTCTTAGGCGTGACGAGCGAACGCTTTATCAACGGGCTACCCCACTGCCCCTTAGTGAAGTGATTGTACCCGAGTACATTAGTGGGGTGCCACGGTTGGATGCCCCTCATTCAACCAACCCCGAGAGTTTTACCTCAAGTATGTTTTAAATGAATGCTCTGTTGGCAGTGGTGTAAGGAAATTAAGGGTTTGAATATTCAAAAGTCATTTCTTGCGAAAATAATAAATTTTATTGTTTGGTGATGCTCAGTAAATAGTTTCCAATTACTGTGACAAATATAGATTGTTCTGATAAATATCGCTTGCGCCTTTATAAATAGGTCACTTTGTCATTAACAGACACATAAATACGAAGGAATGTACAGAGGCGCTTACCTGTGTATAAACCCTTCTTGATAAATAAATAAATATATAAATGAATAGAAAAACAAATAAATAAATAGATAAATAAATAAATAAATCCAAAAAAGCATAAATAGATGCATAAATAAAGGCTTAGATAAAGGCTTAAATAAATAAGTAAATAAATAAATAAATAAAAGAAAGAAAGAAAGAAATATAAGCTTAAATGAAGAAATAAATAATAATAAATAAATACATAAATACATATATGAAAGTTTAAATAAATACATAAATAAATAAATTAATAAATAAATAAATAAATAAATTGACATGCTACATATAGTAGTGTGAATGTACAGATGGTGCAGATCATCGCACCTAGAGTCTGTATGAGCTTCCTGGTGTGGGTGACGGAGAGAACCTTCACCAACCTCACAGACACTATGCTCCATCCCACGGTACCACACACTCGGGTTACGTATGGCAGGGAGGACAGCACGCCGTTCTGAAAGATACGTGCATCTTTTGTATCATAGGCATGTATCATGTATCATCAGCAATACAAGCAGTTCCATCAGCATACTGGTACAAATACATGCTAAAAGGTGAGGAACGAGTGAGTGTAGTTTTACAGTGCTTTTAGCAATGTTCCAAAAATATCATAGCTTAGGACGAAATGTGCTTCACATCCGGGTCTTCGGCGTGACGAGCGAATGTTTAACCTCTAGGCCGCCCTACCGCCCAGAAATGGTGAAGCGAAACCCTGTACAGTCCGTAATAGCATCATTTGGTGGTCCGACACTTTTTGACTGATTAAAAGGATAATAGACTCTAGTTGTGACTGACGGTTGCAGTTGTGTTTGTGGCGATACAGGGGCGGTGGGGTAGCCTGGTGGTTCGAGCGTTCGCTCGTCACTCTGAAGGCCCGGGTTCGATTCCCCACATGGGTAGTACAATGTGTGAAGTTCATTTCTGGTGTCCCCCGCCGTCATATTGCTAGAATATTGCTAAAAGCGGCGTAAAACCATACACACCCAATTGTGGCGATACCTGAAATGGGCATTATTGATTGTTCGTTCCCATGAGGGAAAATAGAGCCCTCTTTCGGAGTGACGAGTAGGCCCTCCACACGGCTATCAGGCCGCCTCTGTCGCGGACTAGTACATTTCGAAATATATATTTGACAGAGTAAGCAGATAACCCAGTCCATATGTATTAAATAGTAGGGCTGCGCAATATAACCGGTTTACCGGTATTTACCGGTTCAGACATGAAAACGATACGTATTGCGATACGCTGATCGAAAACCGGTATTTTGACTTGCATTCGGAAAACTTCGTAACACTCGGAAATGTTCGGATATGTCCTTGTTTCATTTGTGCCAAGTATTTTTCACATTTTTTTTTTATCATGATTAAAAGTTGTTATTTAAGCTTAATCAAGCCTAGTGATTTTGTTGTGTTTTTACTCTATAAATCAAGAAGTAACTCGATTATAAGTAGTTTTTGTTTAAAAATACTTCATGCAATATATTGCAATACATATCGCAATACATCCTTTCGCATCGCAATATGAAAATTCTCTGCAATACCCACCCCTATTAAATAGTTTTAGAAAAATCATTTTGAAAATTTACTTGTCACAGAAAGCAGTATAACCAGTTCTTTACTATTACACCTTGTATTTGATTATTTTAGCATTTGCTGTGGACTAGTATATTTTGAATTTACCTGTCCATATTTGACATAATTTTCATGGCATATATTTTCATTACAACTATTTAATTTTCATAGTAATACAAGATAGAAATTTGAATTTACTATTGATCAAAGTTCAAAGGTAGGTCTCTTATTATTGGTCACATAATAACCGCCAAGCGAGTGGTTCGCTGTGATAACCACCTCGGGGGAACCGAGAGTACACTAGAGGTGGTTATCGAAGCCAATCACGAGCTTAAGGTTATTATTTCACATATACCACGAGGTCAAAAACATTCTTATTCTAGGTGTAATATTATTAACTGCAATGTGCAGATATAATGAAATAAAAAAAATGAATGGTTTTGTATTTATTTATTGAAGATGTTTCCAATAAAAACATTGAGGTAGATGCATCAGGCTGTCAACCCCGATCTGCCAAGGGAAAAGTTCTTCTCGAGGTGCGATACCGGGAATAAGGTGAGGCGAGCCTTGTTCTCGGTATGGAACAGAGAGTTGGTCAGATAACACACACGAAAACGTTCAGGTGCAACGCAGGTGAGATGACCCTGGCTGGTCAGGCGCTGTTCCATCAGCCGTTTGTCATCCCCCGGTGTGAAGCGTGAAAAAAGCACAATATTACATGATGGTTTCTTACTAAACAACTTTTTTCGTGATCGATAATAAAACGTCTGATTTCAGATCCTGTTGGGTACAGAGGTTTCAGGACTATGTGTCTCTCTTATGTTTTATGCACTTATCCCAATTTCGAGTTATTTAATCATTTGTCGTTCTCATTTGAACCCAAACGGACTATAAGTGTGCGAAATACGTTCCTGCACCAGAATGTCGTGCAAGTCGAGCTCTAAACAATCACGTGCAATGTAAAACCACGTGATTTAAACTGCCATTACAGCAAATGAATTGCGACAAGGAGATGCTCTTGACTTCTCAGCGAGCTGCGACGATTCTGTTCCAGGCCGGAGTGCATTTTGAAGCAAACTGGCCATCTGGTAAGTATCGTGCCCTACATAGCATTTGTCTATATCTGTATTTGTACTCAAAACAGCTATACTCATTACCGCCTATCTAGCGGTTCTTTTTCGAAAATATACTGAGTCAAAAAAGAAACTTCACAAAATGTATAATTTTTCTCTGATGATACATCTATGTATCCGAAATGGGATCCCTATCTTTCGACTCTAGAAAAAACGTTAGTAAAACCCACTCAAACCCATCCATTCGTCGTGCAAATGACGTTAGTGCCAAATCAGGTTTTGCACGTGCAGTCGAATACGTGATCTTCGCATCGAAGTTTTCTTCATATGCACGTGTTTGCATTGGCCTCAAGAATTGAAAAAACTCTTTTAAACCACATTTCTAACGGTACTTGAAATGCCACGATTGTCAAATGTGCAACGTGACCGTGCCGTTGGCATGTTGCAAACGGGAAGATCAGTTATTGACGTCGCAAGAGCAAGGGGATGCAGCCGTCGTACTGTGTATGACTTGCGAGTTCGTCTACAACAAACTGGCACCACTTCTGATCCCCCAAGGTCGGGTCGTCCACGTGTGACGTCACGAGCAGAAGACCGTCAAATCGTCCTACGTCACCTACGTGACAGATTTCTGCCGGCTACACGAACCAGGGCTGAGATGTTTAGAGGTCGACTGTCCTCACAGACCATTCGAAATCGGTTGCGGGCTGCCAATCTCCATTCTCGACGTCCATATCGTGGGCCAATATTGACGCCGTTTCATCAACGTCAACGTATGCTGTGGGCCCAACGTCACCTCCGATGGACCCAGAGAGACTGGAATCGAGTCGTCTTTAGCGATGAATCCAGGTTTACCCTCAGATTCGCGGACGGCAGGCATAGAGTCTGCAGACGACGTCGTGAACGGTATGCTCAATGTTGTGTACAGTAAGTCGACAGATGCGGGGGCGGAAGTTGCATGGTGTGGGGTGCTTTCTGTGGGAACAACCGTTCCCGACTTCTGGTCATCCGTGGAAACCTCACAGCTGCTGCTTACCGCGACCAGGTGCTCACCCCTGAACTCGTTCCTTTCATGGCGGCTCATGGCCCAGGTCTACAGTTCCAGCATGATAATGCTCGGCCGCATACCGCGATGTTGACACGAAATTTCCTTCAAAACGCTGGAATCAACGTCATGGACTGGCCATCGAGGTCCCCTGACCTTAATCTAACAGAGCACGTTTGGGATGCACTTGGGAGAAGGCTTCGTGGTCTTAGGAACCAACCTCAGAATTTGCAGGAACTTGGCGCTGCCTTGCAAGAGCAATGGCGCAGAATCCCCAACCACGTGTTCACAAGCATCAGGCAGTCGATGAGGAGACGGTGTTTGGCAGTGGTGAATGCGCGGGACGGCCATACACGATATTGAACTGAGAAATTTCGCATTTTTATTCTTGTGACTTGACATTCTGTATACCCATGTTTTGGAACGGCGGTGTAGCCTAATGGAACTGATTATGGCACTGTCAGTGTATCGAGTACATCACACAGATCTGAGCAATGAAATAATAACAATTTAACCATCTTACCATCTCTTGTTCTTTTATAGCGCTGAAGAAAGAATGTGAAGTTTCTTTTTTGACTCAGTATATTAGGATATTGGAAGTCATATTAAGGAAGTTAAATTCACAGATAATGAAGTAATCTAAATTAAATTGAATTGCTTGTTATGTATTGATGTGTCTCATATGTAGATGACTACCTCGTACCACTGTCCTATTCTTCTGATTAACGCTAAGGGCCCTTCATAATTTATGGGTGTAGGGGTTATGGGGGTGCATGTATAATGTGAATGCTCCCCCCTAAACTATATGGGAAAGACATCCTCCCGTAACCCCCGTACTCTTTTTTAATCATTCTATGCCTAAGAATATAGGCCTATGTTTTTTATGGAAAGAAACCTATCCTCAACCCTAAACCTAATGCTAAACCCCACCCCCTCGAAATAATCCTAATAGAATACATTTCAAGCGTGGGTTACGGGTTAAAAAGATAACACTTTATATATAAAGTGGCCACTCACCACCCCCACCCCGCCTGCTTGTCATGTACAAAATTGCTGACCACGCCCACCCACCCCAACCCGTAGTGTATGTGTACAAAGATGACGCACACGCACGCACACACACACACACAAAACAAACCTCCCTGAACAAAACGGGTGACACGCCCTGCCCCCAAAAAAAAAAAAAATAATAATAAAAAATAAAAATAAATAATCATCACACACACACATACACACAAACACACACACACAAACACAAAAAAACACACAAACAAAACAAAACAAACAAAACAAAAACAACAACAAACAAACACAATTTGGGAATTTATCTGATTGTTCAATAGTACCATTGATTTTATACAACTGTTGCAGGTGTACACAAAGGCTTCAACTCCAGAAGGTATGTTTTCTTTCTCCCAGTGGAAACAAAATTTTAGGGAAAAATTTAAAACGTTCTCATTACTGACTCTTCTAATGCAATTTAACGTTATTGGTCAGGGGAAAATGCACTGCTCATAGGCCAGTGGCCCACCGACCGAACTGTCATTCCATTGGTCAAGAGTTTGTACTAACCCCAAGTGTATTGGTATTTGAGATTTTCATGAAAACTATACTTGATATTGATGAATGTAATTTGTTGGTAAACGTCATGTTTACGTTCTAGGAATGTATCATCAAATTAATCATTGTTGTAACTCAAATTATTCATTACAAAACTATCTATGAGGATCCTGTCTAAACATCTATTTCATTTTTCAGATGATTCAAGTGACCCTGAGGAGAATGGGAAGGGGGAAGGAGATCTCGCCGGTTCCAATTTCTTAACTGCAGTGTGCAGATATTGTAAATAAAATAAATCATTTTGAATGGTTCTGTTTTTGTTTATTTATTGAAGATGTTTCCAACAAAAACATTTGAGGTAGAGGCATACAGTTGTCAACCCCGATCTGCCAAGGGAAAAGTGCTATTCGAGGTGCGATACCGGGAATAAGGTGGGGCGAAGCCGAGCCTTGTTCCCGGCATCGCACCGAGAGTTGGTCAGATAACCGCCCTTGGGGTTGTTATGGTAACCAACCCCTTAAGAGGTTGTTCACAAAAATTAATAACCCCAGATATTGACCCGATAATCAACCCACGTGGTATATCTGAAAATAAATACTTCCATAGAATCTTAAACAGGAGCAGCAGAAAAATGGAAGACCTATGCTTCCTCTTTTGAGGGGTGATGGCGTAAGCCAGTCGTTAAATTTCACACATTTCTGGTGTCCCCCCCCCCGTGAAATTGCTAAAGACGGCTAAAACAATAATCACTAACTTCATCTACATCTATGATTCATCACAGATAAGAGGATGGTGTGGTTAAAGCGTTCACTCGTCACACCGAAGGCCCGGGTTCGATTCGCCACATGGGTACAATGTGTGAAGCCCATTTCTGGTGTCCCCCGTCGTGGTATTGCTGGAATATTGCTAAAAAGCGGCGTAAAACCAAACTCATTCAATCATTTCATTTTGGGCTCTCTCCCCACATCAAGCTTTTAACACCCGGTGTTCAGCAAAATTACCCCGAATCATAAACCATCACGTCTTTTTGTTGAAGGATACACGGAGTCCACTGCAATAACTTTTGACCTTTGCTATCTGGTAGGGGTGGGTATTGCAGAGAATTGCGATGTATTGCATTGCGATATGTATTGCAATATGTTGCAAGAATTATTTTTTTAAACAAAAACTACTTATAATCTAGTTAATGCTTGATTATAAAGCAAAAACACAATAAAATCACTATGATTGATTAACCTTTAATAAAAACTTTTAATCATGACAAAATAAAAATGTAAGTAATATTTGGCACTAATGAAACAAGGAAAAGAACAATTTAAAAAGCGGAAATATCCGAAGATTTCCGAGTGTTACGAAATTTTCCGAACGCATGTCAAAATACCGGTTTTCGATCAGTGTATTGCAATACGTATCGTTTTCATGTCTGAACCGGTTATATTGCGCAGCCCTACTATCTGGAGGATGGTCAAGTCTATTATACAGTTGCCATTTCTAAAAGCGGCGTAAAACTCACTCACTCACTCAGATAGGTCACTTTACGGAAAGGACAACAGTGTGGGTCAGGAAGTATGAGACGCACTACTTACTAACCTGTTCAACGTCAAACTTGAGCACTGTGGCCATATACATGGGGAGATAACTGAAGAGCACGCTGCTGCTCCACGAATGGAGGAACATAACCAGCAAGTAGGCCCACACTGGTGTACTGGAGAAGATGCTCTTCCATGGGATCTTTGTTTCCTGAAAACATTGCATTAAGAGCGAGATGCTGAACAGCGGCGTTCCTTGTATTAGACAATCCATTTGATGTTTAGGCCATCAGTGTTTCGTTATGTGTTTCCCATTTCGAAGCCAATCAGGGAAAGGGCGGAGAGGCGAAAATATGATAAATCACAGATTGAGCAATTTATTATTGGTATTTTTTTTTTTTTTTTTAAAGAAGAGATTTGTATGATATGGATTGAGTCGTTTTGCTTCAGAAACACTATTTAAATAACTCCAAACCCAGAAAGATAAATAAATAAGCAAGTTTTAGGGTATTTGTATTTTCCCATCGTTGTGTACAATTTCGGAAAATTGAGACAAGAGGTCACGTTAGAATAAAAATTCAGGGAGGGCGGGAGATGGTAAACACAGAAACTTATGGACAACCTTAAGGTAAAAGCTTTCTTGAAACAAAATTTAATCATTTGTTGAAGAAAATACAGGAAAAAGACATTTTGGCCCGAATTTGTACTACGATAAATCAGAGATTTGGAGAGGCTGAAGGTTCTGAAAAGCAAGTGTTGTGAAAATATGAAAATATACATTTCAACAGTCTTTTATCCGTCCACGACCGCCTCCGTGGTGTAGTGGTTAGTGCGTCCGCCCGGAGAGCGGAAGGTCGCGGGTTCGATCCCCGACCGCGTCATAAAAAGACGTTAAAATAGGGTACTTGTTGGTCCCTACCTGGCGCTCGGCGTTAAGGGGTACAACAAGCACTGGTCGGTTCGGAGTCAGTTTAATGTGTCTGAGTGGGGTATTCATGCTTCACTGCGGCATGGTATATCAGTGGGCTAGCACTATGAAACCAGCTTAAGTCTGGGCTAGTACAAGCAGCCGCACATACACATACACACGCATGCACGTCGTCATATGAGCGAAATATTCTCAAGCACGACGTTAAACCCAATTTCACCTCACCTCACCTTATCCGTCCACCATCTGCGTGATTTCATGCGGCCAATTACTTCCTGTCGATAGTATATCATCTTCGATAATCTCCAAGGTATACGTTCCAATAAATCTCCACAAGACCCTGAATGCATCTACGGCTTGGCCCGATAATTGTATTAACTCCCTTTGCTGGCCCAGCCTTCTCACAGTAGCCAATCAGATCAGCCGTTACAACCGAGCTTACCAGTGTCAACAAAGATGGTGGCCGCAGTCGCTAAGGTTTGCTGGCTGTGCGACTCAGATTTAAGGAAAAATCATACAATCAAGAACTCCTACCTCTTTCAGGGTACCTCTGCAACAAGTGAGTTATTATAGAATCCTTGTGATTGGTACACTCAACCTCCCAGCGTAGACACCTGACTGGATACAAAACCAGCAGATCGAGTGTAACATATGTTATATGTGGGATTACACTTTCTTTGTAAAGAAGACCGCCTCCGTGGTGTAGTGGTTAGAGCGTCCGCCCGGAGAGCGGAAGGTCGCGGGTTCGATCCCCGGCCGCGTCATACCAAAGGACTTGTTGGTCCCTGCCTGGCGCTCGGCATTAATGGGTACAACAAGGACTAGTCGGCTCGGAGTCAGTATTTTGTGTCCGAGTGGGGTATTCATGCTTCACTGTGGCATGGTATCTCAGTGGGCTAGCACTATAAAACCAGCTGAAGTCTGGGCTAGTACAAGCAGCCGCACATACACATACATACACATGCACATCGTCATATGAGCGAAATATTCTCAAGCACGACGTTAAACCCAATTTCACCTCATCTCACATTTGTAACGTACAGATTCTAGTACTTTTTGTTGGATTGAGTCCCATCCGGGATTCGAACCCACACCCTGTTACATTTGACCACTTTCTAAAATGGCATTGTGTATATCACAGCAGATCGAGGTAATACAATTATCGGACCGAGTCGTAGATGCATCCAGGGCACTAGTGGAAATTTATTGGAACGTATATCCTGAAGATTATCGATGATGGTAGCATATTAGCCTGCATAATTGCTGTTCAACTCCTCGTTGCGGACTAAATTCTAGCCACTTTAAACGATTAAATCTAAATTCAATATACTCTCCGTCGAAACTAGCAAGCGGAGTCCCCTCAATAACTCACCTTCCGATTATCTTCTACGTTGGTCCTGTGTTCGAAGATGTAAGACTTTTCCTCGTGTGATATACTTGGATGTTGTTCTGGTTTGTCGTGGGATAGGGTCAGCCATACCGGACACCACACCAACGTGCATCCACCTGTTAGTAAACAAACCCATAGAAATATAGCATTGGATGAGAGAATGGCTCTGTTGCTGCACTAAATGACGTATCTCCACGGTTTATAATAATCCAGACCCAGATATGAGTGAGTGAGTGAGTTTGATTTTACGCCGCTTTTAGCACGGCGGGGGACACCAGAAATGGGCATCACACATTTTACCCATGTGGGGAATCGAACCCGGGCCTTCGGCGTGACGAGCGAACGCTTTACCCACTAGGCTACCCCACCGCCCCAGACCTAGATATGAAATTGGTATTGGTCGTTGTTTCTTAATAAATGATCTTTTTGATCGTGGGTTAGACAATTACCCCAACACGGGGCGGTGGGGGTGCCAAGTGGTTTTACGCCGCTTTTAGCAATAATCCTGCAATATTTCGGCCGGAGAACACAAGAAACGGTAGCCATGTAGGGATTCGACGCTTCACGTACTACGCTATCCACTACGCTATCTAGATTCGGTAGAACAAGCGATCAAATATAACTGTCATCATGTCACGTATTGCCTTACCAAAGACATAAAATATGAACGGCCAACCGTTATCAATTGGAATAAGGCAGAGAAAACCGCATATCAGGAAGGTAACGACATTGGCAACGTTGAAACCTGAAATTTAAAACAAAAGTTAATTGACAATATTTACAATAATATCGGCGTGTAAACAGGCTACGTTCAGGAGTTTGTTATAAAAACGAATTCCTATAGGTACCCTGCTAGGTAATAAGTTCATGATACTTGGGCTTCTTTGTTATATACCGCTCAAGAGAAGTTAAAACACCCGATGTTTTATGTGATCATAATTCATCTGTCATATGTGGGCATGTACTGCAACAGACGTCCAACTAAGAGTGTTCCCTAACCTTTTTGAGTGGTATAGAACTGCGTGTCGGCTTGATGTGGAAGGACACACCCGTTTAAGGCATGTTTTTGGCACTAAGGGGCGCAACAGCGAATTGCAGCTCATCAGATCCTTGTATCCGCTATACCAAAGATCCGCGAACATCCCTTCACAGGTCATGTCAAAACAAACTCTCGCGAGCTTTGACCGGCCAATGAAATGACTTACACGAGGTCGACATCAGCCCATCAAAAAGCAGCTTCTTTGAGGTTTACGGAACTACATGTGGTTGCAAAATAGCGACTTCAAGTCGAAACTTCACTTTGAAAAACATTCTGACCGAGTTCTCGATTCTCGAACAGGCATTCGGAGTGGCCCGTTTTGAACTTTTTCGAGGTGGCAAAAAAACAACATCAGTGAACAGTAAAAGAAACACTGACGCTCTAAATGGTCGGATGAATGGCGCCCTGAAATTATGTGACCT